GCGACACGGCCTGTTCTCCAAGCGATAGAAAATTTTTTGGGGACGACGCACAAAAAGCAAAGAGCATTCCAGCCAGCCGCTTCAGTTGGAGAGCAACCTTCAAAGGCAACGCACGTGTGCAAATCGGTTTCGGACTCGGTTTCGGTGTCGGTATCGTCGCTATCGCCGCGCTAAAGCCGCTAAAGATCTATTCCCATCTGTGCTTGCATAAATAATTCACGGTTTCCGGGTCGCCGGCTGCAGCTAGAGCACCAGAATCTCGGCAAGATGACGGACGAAGTGCCCGCCAAAGGCAGCATATTGGGCAGTAAGTTGGCCATCCGGGGAGGGTGAGTGGGTTGTTCGGGGGTTGACTCTTTCGTTGGCAGCGAAAGAGCTATTTCGAGACTGCATCCGTGGGATGCATCATACGCAGTGTGTGCAACAAGTGGGCGAGGCGGTGCCGAGTGACGAAAGTCCCTGGCAAACCGGCGAAATGCAAGGCCAAGATGAGGCTTTGACCTTAAAGCCACAGCCAAAGGTCGTTCGTGTGCGTGAGTCCCAGAATTCTGCTTCCGTGTCCTTGTATATGTGTGTGTGCGTACGGTACGCCGCCATATCCTTTAGGTTTAGGTTGCTGTGGCTTTTTTTAGATGCTCGCCCACGCCATTGCTGGCATATTTGATTTGTTTTTGGCGTTTTTATATAATATATATATGTATATATATCCCAGGGACCGGTGTCCGGGCAAGGTCAAATGGAAGTCAAAGATATAAACAATATTGGCAGTCATATGGCCACTTTGCTCGTGCGTCCCAAACAAACGCCCAAGACGAACCGGCGCGACATTCTTGGTAGCCTATCCCAACAAAAACTGCGAGAGTTTGCCAAGCGTTTCAATGGGTAAATAATAGTGTTTACTCTGATCAAACTATGCGAAAATATTATTATTGTGTTTACGTGTCGGCCTGTGAAATATTGAAAATCGCTTGCTGTCTCGATTGAGTTTAACAATAAACTAATTTAGAACACCCCTGAAGGTTTACAGCAAAAATGTTTAATCAATTTTGGCCATAAAAGTTCTTTCTTATCAAATGAGACCAATAAGGGAATTAAATTCCATATTTATTTTTAGTTCAATGATAGCAATTATATTGACTCAAGGAGTTGGAAACTGTTTACATATTAAGAAATTTGTACACGACTGATTTGCCATAAAAACTAATTTGCTAAAACCCCTTAACATAGGTCAATTAAACCTTTAAACAATCAGCAATAAGAACCTCCTAATAACAAATTGGATTAAAAGGTTCGATTAACCGAATCCTTTCTACTAATTGGTTCAATGAATTTAGAATACTTTTTTCCCCTTTGCGAAATTCTTAAGCAATTAGGAATATTAACTCGAACTCTCTACAAACACATGCCATCAAAGAGCTTGTTTAATTTAGAAATTATCCAGGATCAGTCGGTCTTATGGTAGCACTTGAAAGATTACCCTAAGCACTTGAGCTTTACCACTACCGAGTGGGCCCCACCTAATCAAACAAGCAAACAAGTCTAGCACCGCAAGAGGGGAATTTATGAATACTAACTGGCTCTGCGATGCAAGCTAATGGTAGTTTCCAGCATTTAGCCCAAAAGCAAATAAAGATTAAAGAAAGACCAAGAAATGCTCTATGAAAAAAAGTTACTCTGCGATTGAACTTGAGCAAGGAATCAGTCCTTAAGCTAACTATAGTAGCTCTCCAGTTCCTAGTCTTATTTCAAATATAACTACATGTTTTTTTCTATAAAAGTACTACAATTAAGTAATTTAAAAAAGTAAATGTTGTATTATATATTCCTCCCTGCTTGCCTGTTTTATCAATATTATTATTATGTTGCTACTTCTAAATATTGCCAAAGTACCCGCCCTGATGAAGAGTATGTCAAGACATTGACAAAATAGTACGCCCAGTATCGGTAGAACAATTAGCAAATATAAATAATCATGTTGCCAGCGCCAAAGGCCCACTTCTGACAGCCGTGAAAGTGAAATTGAAAATAAAGACAATAAATTTGTATCGCTGCGGGCGTTATCGCAACGTGCGCTCATAATTGCCAGACATCGGTGCGGATTACGAGTGGTCGGGAATCGGGAATTGGAATCGATGCGCGTGCGGTGGTCCCATCTACCTCACTGACCCTACCCAACTGTCCATAATCAGTCCTGCCTTTACGCAGAACTCGTGTCTGGGCACAATGAGACCTGAACTGGCCACTGGTCAGCAGGTGATTGAGTCCTAAAATACCGGAATGGTGTCATGTCTATATCCAGTTCCCACATTTTTGGTTTGGAATTGGAATGCTTGAAGTCGACGTTTGTGAAGCAAAAGAACTCATGCCTTAGTTGGCTTAAATGGTTTTATCATTCCCCCAATATCAATGCTAATTGAAACTCGTCGCACAACAATTGAATTGGCCAATCAATATCGCTGATATTAATCAATTTGTGTTGCTTCACACTATGGCAATATATAATATAAATTATTATGCAATATTCTAACGATATTTTTTAATAATTATTCTAAAGCCACGGAGTTTACTAACTTAAAAAAATGTAATGTAATTTTAAATATGAAGAGGAATGATTTAATTAATTTTAAGTTCATATTTAGTTGATCCTAATTAAAAAAAAAAACCCTTTTCTTCTTTGCAGAACTTGTGCCCGCCCGCTATGTCTTGGCCCTCCTGGGATCCATCGGCATGGCCATTGTCTACGGCCTGAAGGTAAATCTGAGCGTGGCCATGGTGGCCATGCTTAACCACACGGCCATAAAGGCTCACCACGAATCTGGACATGGCGGCTCCAGTGTGACGCTTTCGAACGCCAGCCAAGTTACGCTGGTCGAGGAGTGCCACCCGCCGGGCGGTGCCAGTAATGCAACTGGAAAGGGGGATGACGGACCCTTCGACTGGAGTGAACCCCTGCAGGGCACCCTGCTGAGCTGCTACTTCTGGGGCTATTTGGTTTCCCAGATTCCGCTGGCCCACGTGGCCGAGAACTTCTCCGCCAAGTGGGTGATGCTCTTCTCGGTTGCCATCAATGTGGTGTGCACCCTGCTGACTCCCGTGTTCACCAACTTGCACTTCGGTGGCCTGATCCTGATGCGAGTGCTTGAGGGCGTTGGTGGTGGAGCCTCCTTCCCGGCCATGCACGTGATGATCGCCTCCTGGGCCCCGCCCACAGAGCGGATGGTCATGTCCACCATCATTTATGTGGGCACATCGGCGGGCACGGCTCTTTCAATCCTTCTAGCCGGCGTCCTCTCCGCCCAGTGGGGCTGGGAGTCAGTATTCTACGTGATGGGTGGCCTCAGCTGCATCTGGATGTTGCTCTGGATCATCTTGGTGCAGGACAATCCCAACAAGCAGCGCTTTATCAGCGCCGAGGAACGCCACATGATCACCAGCTCGCTGGGCACGGAGTCCAAGGTGGAGCACCATCCGCCTGTGCCGTGGGCCAAGGTCTTCAAATCGATTCCCTTCTGGGCCATCCTGATCGCGCATACCTGCAGCAACTTCGGCTGGTACATGTTCCTCATCGAAATTCCGTTCTACATGAAGCAGGTGCTCAAGTTCAACGTGGCCAGCAATGCGGCTCTCAGTGCTCTCCCCTACTTCCCCATGATCATCTTCAGTATTGTGCTCGGCAAGGTCTTGGACACACTGCAGGCGAAGGGTAAGTCGGATTTTTTTCGGGAATCATTGAAAATATATATAATTTTATTTACAACAATCAGGAAAAATCAGCACCACCTTTGCCCGAAAGACTGCCACCTCGATCTGCACTTTGATCCCAGGAGTTTGTCTGCTGGTTCTCTGCTACATTGGCTGCCGTCACTATGAAGCTGTGACAGTTATGTCCGTCGGAATCGTGGCCATGGGCGCTATGTTCTCCGGTTTCCTGTCCAATCACATCGACATTGCCCCCAACTTTGCCGGCACTCTGGTGGCGCTGACCAACACAGCGGCTACTTTACCAGGAATTGTGGTGCCCCTCTTTGTGGGATTCGTTACCAAGGGAAACGTAAGTTGAGGGAAGCCTAAGAAATCCCAAATTAGTATTCTATGAGCGCATCTGGAATATCTTGCAGCAAAACATCGGAGCCTGGCGCATCATCTTCGGCGTTACCATTGTCCTCTTTGCACTGGAGTTCCTGGTCTTCGTCATCTTTGGATCTGGCAGTGAGCAGTCGTGGAACAAGTCGGGTTCCCCCAAGGACCCCGAGGCCAAGGATGAGAAGACACCACTGAAGGACATACCCGCCAAGCCCTAAGTCCACACAATCTCGCTTCGATTACTCTGTCCCAATTACTCGATGAACTGCAGCCTACTCAGATTGGACAAACTCTGGGCTTGCACCGATTGGAAAAGTCGACACTGGACTGTAAATACCAATTACAAATGATAGTTTTTAGTTTGCTGTAACCCTAAGTAACCGTATGCCTCTACGGATAATCACTTCAGCCCGCCTAATGTACTTAACACTCTTGATTTCAAAAGTTGTCTACAAATAAAGCGATGTCTTAGTGAAATAATTGCGCAATTTATGGAGAATGGGAATGGGTTTGATTTCAAGGGGTTGAGTTGGTTTGATTTTTCAAGTAAAAACCAATATGTATACATATATAAATATATATGATTTAAAATTTAAGAAATGCACATCTATATTTAAAAACAGATCTCGCGATTTGGGCCATTTTAGGCGTAGTTCATTACTGTTTAATAAATTTGAAAAAATATTAGAAAACACAAAAAAGATAAGCATATAACAATTTCAATTAGCGTATATGTCTTTTTGGTTGAGTAATTTGTAATTCGTAAAAATTGTTTTAAAATACCTCGAACTTATCATTGAAAAATACTCATATTAATCCTAAATACATATGTGTATTTAATAATTTCGTATGTTTTATTTCTAAAACCCGACTCGACTATTAAACTGAAGATTGTACGAACATTTATTTGTGAATAATATTTTGGCTAGATCTCTCGTAAGACAGCTTAAGGATCATTTTACCAATTTTAAAAACCAATCATTTTTGGTCAAGTTTGATCCTTAAAATTATGTTTAATAAATTTAAATTTTGCTTATATCCTCAACAAACACAAAACTGATATTGGTATCGAATTGTAGTTTGTGATCAAAGAACCATCTCAAGGACAACATATAGTCGCCAGTTGGAAATGGGAGAAGCAATAATTCTGGCTTGAGATAGAATCCCCTGAGGTACTGTGGGCCCTGAATGACAGAGTAATTTATAAGAATTTACATTTTTGTTTATAAAATACGATTAACTCACCACATAAGGACACGTATGGTTGATATTAGTAAACTCCTGGAAAAGGCTATAAATTATTTTAGCTGGCGGGTAGTAGGTCTTTCGCATAAAGCGACAGGAATCAACTTCGGCGTTAAGGAGCCAAGGCTTGTAGCCATTCGCCCTCTTGAACAACTTGCCCTGGGTTTGGGCGTTATAAACAGGATGGAGGATAGTTCCGTTCATATTCATAACGACTCTGTCGCGCGACACGGCCTTCAGGCGACACTCGTGGAATTGGAACCAGGATTTATTGTAGCTCTCGCACACAAGGTTGGTAAACTTGAAAACGACTGCTAACTGGAAAACAAGCAAAGTTATTCAATCCATATACAGGATGTTTAAATACTTACACTAGAGTGGTATAAAAGCACTCCGAGAAAAGCCAAATAAAATAAATTTAAGCGCATATTGTAAGCTCCAGACATTCAGCAGAAAAGCACTGAAATCGAAAACTCAAAAATTACACATATTTATATATTTATTCATACACTAATTATCTGCCTGATTAACTCTGGATTTAAATGCTCAATTGGATCCTCAAATTAAAATTAAATTGTTAAAAAAACAAGAAAGGAAGCTAACTTTGGCACGCCGAAGTTTGTATACCCTTGCAGATAATATTTCATTAAATTTTACCTATACTTATTGTTTAGAGTTTGACAGTTACAGTTTTACATTCCCAGTTTTACATTTTCTCTACATCTACCGATCGGTTTATATGGCAGCTATATTATATAGTTGTTCGATTTTCATAAAATTTATACCAAAACTTTGAACTAATAAAATAAGCTTATATCTCAGAGTAGATAAAAATAGGTTGAAAAACAACGAAGTTATAATGTTTTTTCTATTAATTTCCCGATCGTTCCTATGGCAGCTATATGATATAGTCGTCAGATTTTCATGAAATTTTTACAAAAATTCAGAAATAATATAAAATGACCATATCAAAAAAATTGTGCAAAAATGTTGATAAACAGCCAAGTTATAATTTTTTTTCTACAAATATATCGAACATTTGTATGGCAGCTATATGATATAGTCGTCCGATCCGGCCCGTTCCGACATATATAGCAGTGAGAGTATATAGAAGACTATATGCAAAGTTTCATTCAGATAGCTTTAAAACTGAGAGACTAGTTTGCGTAGAAACGGACAGACGGACGGACAGACGGACAGACGGACGGACAGACGGACAGACGGACAGACGGACAGACGGACATGGCTAGATCGACTCGGCTGTTGATGCTGATCAAGAATATATATACTTTATAGGGTCGGAAACGTCTCCTTCACTGCGTTGCAAACTTCTGACTAAAATTATAATACCCTGCAAGGGTATAAAAACTAATATAAAACAATTCTTTGTTGCAAATGTACTCTTTTTTAGTAATTTTTAAATTTAGTAATTTTTTAGGCAGCGCTTCAGCTGTATGTTTTTGATAAGCATCTCCAGACAAGCCGATTTAGCCATTATTTATTTATTGTAAATGGTTCCGATATTTTGAAAAGAAAATTCAAATTTCTGCCAGGGTAATTACTTTTATTATTATTGAAACTCCTGTCACATAATTATTAAAAATGTATAATTTAGAAAAATTAAAAAGAAAACGTATCCAACGATAGAGTTGCCCAGATTGGTAACAAAAGAAAATTGACAACTCTAGCGATAAATTATTGCGGAACAGCTGGAAAACAGCTGATTAAAATTCAGCCGTATGAGGGAAAGAGGGAATACCCCTCATGTTATCAGTTGCCGGTGTTTAGTTCTGATTGTGTAAAATGCTGAAAATACGCAGCATTTGCCTGCTGCAAAGGAGGTGGAAGAGCGGGGCCAAGAAACGATGGAATGTCCTGCAAAACAAGAAGAACAACTGCGACCGGGCGCTGGAGAACTTCGACGACTTCTATGGTAGCGTCTACGGCAGCCGGTGGAAGAACATGCGGGCGGCCCTGCTCACGCGCCACAAGTACATTGCCATGGTGAACAACTTCGGGGACACGGAGCAGACCTGCAGCATGCTAGAAATGGATGGAGCGATCAACATGAAGTCCCTGATCAATCTGGCCCTGGGTCGCCAGCAGGAGACCACTGACACTATGCCGGAGCAGGGAAAGTCTCGCCACGAAATTGAAAGCAAGCTGGATTCTCTGCTGCGTAAGCAGCAGGAACGCGAGGTGGCCCACATTTACCCGAGTTCAGCAGAGGATGGCTCAGCCACGACGCTACCACAGCAGCTGAAGTACGACAATAGCCAAGAAACGCAGACGGAGGACGTCAACCAGCCCATCGAGCAGAGCTTGACCAGAGCTCTCGAGGAAGACTACAGGCTCGACGAGCATCGCTTGGTGGACCCCCAGTTTGGCACCGGTGGCTTGTATGAGTACATGCCCGCTCACAGCATCAAGGGCATGGAGGATTGGGTGGCCGAGTCGGAGCACTACAAATATTACAAAACCAACGCCGATTTCCCACTCACCATTGAACCAGAGGCATCGTTTTACTTTCCCGAGCACCTTTCTCTGTACACATACGAGATGGGCAACTGCTCGGACTTCAAGGGACCCAAAAAGTGCCTCACCGGAGTCCTCTCCCACTATTTGATGGACGGCGCCTCCACCTTGCCGCCTCTTTTCCTGCAGGTGAAACCCGGAGAGCGGGTCCTAGACGCCTGTGCCTCCCCCGGGGGCAAATCACTGCTCATGCTACAGACGCTGCACCTGGACCAGTTGGTGTGCAATGACGTCCAAGAGTCACGAATAAACAAGCTGCGCAAGGTGTTGCAGGAGTATCTGTTCGATTACAAGGACCGGTGGGCTTGTAAGAGGCTGATCTTCAGCCAGAGCGATGCTCGCAACCTCGACCAGTACGAGCAGTTCGATAAGATCCTGGTGGATGTGCCCTGCACCACCGATCGCCACGTGCTCAATGCCCAGGATAACAACATCTTCAAGCCGACGCGCATCAAGGAGAGACTACGCATTCCCGAACTTCAGGCGGGCATTCTGGCCAACTGCCTGCGTCTGCTGCGTCCGGGTGGCAGCTTGGTCTACTCCACCTGCTCGCTGTCGCCCATTCAGAACGACGGAGTGGTGCACATGGCCCTGCAGAAGGTCTTCACAGAGTACGGCATTACGGCCACCATTAAGGATTTAAGCCAGCAAACATCGCTTTTTAGTGACATCTTCAAATTTGACCACCCAAAGGGACTCAAGTATGGACAGATGGTGGTACCGTTTCTGCCGGCCAACTTCGGGCCAATGTACTTTAGTAAGATAACCAGAAATATGTGAACTAATAGCTTGTACAATAAAAACTTGAGTTAAGTTGTTCTAATTTAATAAACTGTTCACTTCGGGCGACATTCTGTCCGAATTACATTTGCTTGTCAGTCTTCTTTTTCTTCTTACCCTTTACGGGCAAAGGACCAGGACTCTTGAAGATTGTACTGAAATGAAACAAAGCCCGTAAGTGTAAGAAGAATTAAGTAAACAAGTTCTACTTACTGGCAGGTGGTGCAAATCGGACTGTATTTGCAGAACACAGACAGGCAAACGGAGCAGACATAGCCAATGTCGATGAGTTCGCGATGGCAGAAGCAGGAGGCGCGGTAGTCAACCTTCGGCGGAGGCGGCAAGACCAGCTTGTTCCGCATCTGGGGGGCCGGCAGGAAGACCCACAGAAGGTACTGCAGCAGGCCGTCCAACTGAGTGACCTTGAGGAACTGTCCGGAGGTAATATCACAGCCCTGCTGGAGCAAGCTGAGTGTCTTGTCCAAGGCGCAGGTATCGATCACAATGTCTAGCTTCTGGGCGGTGAAGAAGACATTCATGTAGGTCATGTACTGGGACGCACACTCGTTGCTGCCGGTCAAAACCAGGATGCGGGAGTGCATCTTGACGCCAGGTGGCACATTGCGTTGCAGCTGCAGGGCGGAAAATTGGAATACATCAATTTATAGCATTTAAGTTTGACTGGCATTTACTTACTCTGGAAATGTAGCAGAGCGCCATGGACATGCTCCCGGCGAGGAGGCTCTCGCAGGGGGAACTCAGACGTGGGGCATTCATCAGGATGCTGCCCAGCTGCTGCTTCACCGTCTTTTCCACCAGACTGAAGGCCTCATATTGGCCATCGACCTGGCGCAATTCCACTGGACGCCTCGGTTGGGGGTATAGGAAGTTACTGCCATGGAATACGCAGGTCAATATGAGCCAACGCACCTTGGGGACTCTACTCACGTGGCATGGTGGGAGCAGGATAACACAGCCAGCTTGTTCTGGGCTTTTTGCATGAGGTGCGCATTCCCAAAGGCAATCACCGCCTCCAAGATCTGAGTGAGGTTCTGTGGGTTCTGGCGAACGATGTGCTGCGACGGATTCGTGTCCAACACTATTACCAGGAGGTCTATGCTCGCCTCGGCTATGAAAACAGTCCATAATCACTTGGCTGCCACCATTTATTGGCTTCAAAATACGCACCTTCTTTGCTCGTTGTCTGATCCGCGTCCATTTTCACCGGCTTATTGTTATCGATAGAGATGTGCAACTTTCGATGTTTTAGTAGGGTGTGCCGATAGTACTACGACTTTGTTTCGACAAGATGGAGGGAAATTTAAAATATTATAACATTTCTTGTTTTGAGCGCTTATAAGGAAAATGTGCATTTATTATTTATATTTCTTCTTCCTAATATAATTCGGTATTAAATTAAGTATTGATTACGTAGATATTTGATAAATTATTTTATTTTCAGCATGTTTGTCCGTCCGAATCCTTAACCTTTTGTTTTGGCAGACTCCCGTATATTGAACTTGGGAACCCGATCTTTCCTGGCCAGTATCTTATTGGAATTGTCCTCTATATTGATGGCACTAATGATCAGATTGACCCGACGCTCGATAACGCCAATGAAAAGCTTCACATTGTGGACCGTCAAGAAGGTCTTGGTGCTCAGGACATTTAGAATGGGACATGTTTCGTCACAAGCCAGTTGTCTGTAAGGGAAGAGAGAACTCACTAGTTATCTTCGATATTTGTGGAAGTTCCTTTCGGGGTGGCACCTAAAAATATCCTCAATGCCCTTGAGCAGCTGCTCCAGGCGAATGCTCAGGGTGCGCTTCCTCTCTCTAGTCTCCTCGGCCAGTTGCTCGATCCGCTCCCGTTCGGCATTCAGATAATCCAAGGCCTCGGTCTTCAGCTTCAACTCCTTTTCGGTCTGCTCTGATTTCTGCCGCTCTGTGGGTAATATGATTATATACGCATGTTTATTTATAAGAGAGCGTCAGTTTAACCCACCTATTTCATCCGTCAATTCCTGCGTGGAGTCATTCAACACCTCCACCTCGTGGCTCAGCTCGTTGACATAGTTGAAGAGGGCAAAGTTCTCATCCTCCTGCCGCTTGAACTGGGCCACCAGCCGTTCGGCATCCTCCTCGCCGTACAGCAACTTGATCTTCTCGATGATATCCTTGTACTCCAGGAGCTGTCGCTCGTAGTTCTCCTTTTGGTTTTGCTTCTTGTCCAGCTCGCGCTGCTCCAGCTCTGGATTCAGGCGCTTTTGTCCCTTGATATCAAAGAACTTTTGCAGTTTGGCGTCGTGTTCCAGACGTCGCTGCATCTCGCGCATCTCCTGGATGTGCATCACCTTGTCGTTCTCGTTGCGGTCTTTTAGCACGGACAACTTGTTGCACAGCTCCTCACGCTGATCGAAAGCCAAGGTGGACTGATCGATCAGGTCCATGATGAATTTCTTACCCTCGTTAAACTGAGTAACCATCGACTGCCACATATCGTTGAAGTTCGCCCTGGAATTGCGGCGATGGTTAAAGAGAGAAACAAATTCCACATTCGATTTCTATGGGACTTTCTCACCGATCCTGCAGCATGTGGTTGATGGCGTCCCTCATCTTGCTGTTTTCCGTGAGCACATCGCTGCACTTCTTGTTCACCACATCCAGGCGGTTCTCCAGCTTGACGACACTCTTCTGGACCTTGCAGATCGTGTCTTTGTAACAGTTGTCGGGCACCTCGTTTCGCCGCAGGGCGTCGATCTCCTTCTCCATTTTCCGAATGTGACCCTCCAGCTCCCACAGGTTTGTCCGTTCGTTTTGGAGTACTCTTTGGAGGTCAGCCTGCTGGCCCTGCAGGTTACCGAGGTGTCTCTCCTTCTGCAAGAGTGGAAATCTCTGAATTTTAAATAGTTCATTTGAGAAACTCATAGAACTCACATTAGTGTTCTTGCGGGCGTGAGTGCCACCCTCCAGAGTCTTGATCTCCTCTTTCAGCTTCTGGTGCTCCACCTGCAGGACGTTGATCATGTGGTTCTGCTTCTTGAGCCGCTTGGCCTTTTCTTCGAGCAGTCCGCGCAGATCCAGCTGGAGTCCCCGATGCTGACGCTGAAGCCTCAGCAGTTCGGCGGTAGCTAGTTGGTCCAGCTCGTTTTGGTCGGCCATGTCCTTCGGTGAGTTAACTAAATGCTTTTGTCTGAAAAGGACTATGATTTTCTTTTTATTGATTTCGAAAGTAAACAGCGTTGCTGAAGGATGGTTGCTTGGTAACGAAAATATTGTAGTTAATGCATGCTTATTTATCCTCTGCAACATACTACCTCATTTTATTCTTTACATCATAAATATATAAATATTTAAATATATAAATTAATAAAAATAAATATTTTAAAATTTAAAATGGGCAAGTGGCAGTAAAAAAAGGTTTAAAAACCGAGAGTGCAATAGGTTAAAAATTTGAAAAGCCCGCCGCGCTTCGAGTTCCCTTCGATTCAAGAAAGTGCCACCTCTATCGATAGACTCTCTGCACCTATCGGCTGATTGCTGGGCGTTTCACAATTTTTTTATTTTGGCAAACAAAACAAACGGCAACAAAGGACACCATCATGCTAGTTCTGGTACTCGGCGACCTGCACATCCCGCACCGCTGCAGCAGCCTACCGGCCAAGTTCAAGAAGCTGCTGGTGCCGGGCCGTATCCACCACATCCTGGCCACCGGCAACATCTGCACCAAGGAGTCCTACGATTACCTCAAATCGCTGGCCAATGACGTGCACATTGTGCGCGGCGACTTTGACGAGAATTTGAGCTACCCGGAACAGAAGGTGGTCACCGTGGGCCAATTCCGCATCGGCCTGTGCCATGGCCACCAGGTGGTGCCGCGAGGCGACCCAGAGGCACTGGCCCTCATCCAGAGGCAACTGGACGTTGACATCCTAATCACGGGGCACACGTACAAGTTCGAGGCGTACGAGCATGGCAACAAGTTCTACATCAACCCGGGCTCGGCAACCGGAGCCTTCAATCCGCTGGATAGCAATGTGGTGCCCTCTTTCGTCCTAATGGACATCCAGAGCACCACTGTGGTCACGTACGTGTACCAGCTGATCGGCGACGAGGTGAAGGTGGAGCGGATCGAGTACAAGAAGATCTAGGGTGCCCAGTATTAGCCACCAGCCATTCCTAACCCCGACACTCTCATTCTGAGCCTGGCTTTATTAAAGAAATTGTAAATGTACGTAGCAATAAATCGAGTTCTCATGTTTTTTATCTGATAAAAAGTGCGCTGACCTATTATTTTGAATAGAAAATACAAAAGTTATCGAATGTACTTTACTGTTTTGGGAATCCCGAATCTCGTACGTGGAAATAAGGGTCTCCGGTGGCGAATGTAAAACTTGGCGCCCGTCAACAACGATGAATTCAAGGTAATAAAGCAGAGCTAGAATACCCAGTCAGGCGCTGTCCCCACAAATGTTTAATTATTTGTATTTTGCCATCCAATTATCTGATAAAAAATGTTTAAATTTTATTTAAATAGAATATAAAAAGAGAGTTACTTTTGATGATCGAGTGCAGTCTGCTTAAAAGATCGAATTCCACGCTCTGTTCTCATTAAACACACTCTCGATATATATAAATACATTGGGTTCCTTTTTTTTTTGTGGGCGTTGATTTTCCATAGAAATAAATTATTTAAATACTCTTCCCACTTAGCCAGAATAGCAAAAGTTTTGGCAACACGTCATTAATACAATCGGGGTTTGGTACGAAAAGTTTGATCAGAATCTCGGAAGTAAGAAAAGTTTGCGCTTAAGATTAAATACAATTATGATTGCTGCTGACTGGCTAATGCTGTTGTTGTTGCTGGTGATGGTTGGAGGAGAAGCAACGGATTGGAGCCCTGGCATGGGCAATAACATTAGCCGAGGCTGTCTACGCACACAGTCTTTAGGGTCTTGCCGACAATGGTGGTCTTATACTGCTCCGGTAAAGCCAACTCGGTCTGTAAAAAAATAAAAGCATTCATAATGGGAAGACAATATAAACGTAGGCAAGACTCACATAGTCGCCGCTGGAGTCGGGCAAAAGGATGTTCATCTCGGAAGACTTGGAGTTGACTATCTCCACGCCCAGCGAGTCCTTGGACAGATACATCTGGCAGCCGTCGCTCTTGTCGATCGAAACCGTTGGCACCGACCCGAGCACCTGCATCTGAACGCTCTGGCAGTTGACGAATTCCACAGAGGCCACCACGGAGTCGAACAGCAGCGAGCACTTCTTGCACGAGTCAAGCACGATGTTGTTCACCTTGCCCTTAACGGTCAGCGTGGATCCCTCGCAGCGGAACATGTACACAACGTTGTTCATCTCGGCGTTCTCCACCAACAGTCCGGTGTTGTTCTTCTGGTACTCGATGATCCACTTCTTGCCATCACGCTCGAACACAGGAGGCTTGGCAGGAGCCGGGCCCGAGGGAGCGCTGCCAGAACTTCCGCCGTATTGGGCAGGCGACTTAAAGGGAGCCGGTCCGGTACGCAGGGAGGGATTCTTGTGGGTCTGCATATCCCCCGTGACCTTCTTCAAGTCTGGGAAGGGAATAAAGGATTAATTAGCCACGTTGTTTCATTAATTAACTGTAAAGAAGGCGTACTCTTGGTGATGTCGGCGCCTTGATTGATTTGAGCGAACAGGGCGCTGCGGTCATCTCCAGCGCTGTCCAGTTTCAGGGCGTTCAGATCCAATGGCGGCGGCGGTGGGGGCATGCCTCCGGGTGGCGGCGGTGGTGGGGCACCTCCAGCGGGGGCAGCTCCCTTGCCGGACCACACCAGACCAGTGGTGTGGTACTGGCGAATATAGGCCTGCAATTCGGTTAGCGTCTGCACCCAGGAGCGAGCCCACTCCACGTGCTTAACGTCCTTCTCCTTCCACTCCTTCAGCACGCGGTTCGTGTAGAACTGCCCGGCGTCGTTCATCTCCTTCACATACGGACCCGGGGTCTTCTCAACGCACACCCAGCCAAGGGCGGGGATGCTCTCGCTGATGGCCGAAAGGTGGTTGAAGAAGGGGGAGGAGCGGTGCTTCTCGCGGAAGTCCTGGATGGCGCTAATCTGCGTCGAAGTCGGCTTCAGCAACTCCGCCTGCTTGGGCTGCGCCGGCTGGGCAATCTGGGTGGCCAGCGTCACATACTGCAGCTGAAAGCTGTTCAACAGTAATCACAAAATTAGTCAGTTATTTGGTAATCTTTGAAAGAAAACAAAGCTCACCCAAAGGCGCTCTTCACGAGCTCAGCGTGCTGGGCGACGTCGCCGCCAATCTTGGCGGAGAGGGACAGATATTGGCTCAGCGGTCCCGCCACAATATCCTCGAATCCTGCTACACTCATATTGTTGCTGCTGCTAAGCGGCGGCGGCGAAGGTGGTGGTGGTGTTTCTACCTCTGGTGATGCTACTGGGAGAGCTTCCTCTACTTCTTCTTCGGTTGGCGGGGGCGGGAGAATGGGCGTGGGTAGTTCAAGCGGCTGAGGCTGCGGCGCCGTAAGAGTCCGTTCCAATCGGTCAACGAGGGTCTCCAAACGTTCGCAAATGCTTTCCAAGTGCTCGACAGAAGCCGCGGGCTTGGCTTCCGGCTCGTTATCTGCACCAGAATATGCACAAAGGAGAGAGAAATAATTATTTTAAGCGTGTTTAACAAGTTTCTTCTTATTTATAAACATTTAGAGAAATGTAAATTGAACTTTAGGAAAAAAAATTATCTAGGTAAAGAGGTGAATTTGTCAGCGTGATAATCCCCAAAATAGCGTGCACCCCTCTCACTGAACACATAAATATTTCCAAATTAAAATTTCACGTCTGGGGGTATCCCCATCACAAGAGTGGTGATGATGATTGGTGACGGAATGAGAAAAGGAAATGCAAAGCTAAGCCCCACAAGTCGATAAAAGAAACGGAAAACCACATGCAAATATGACACAAGAAAATAACGAAAAGGCAAGACAGAGAAGATGATCCATTAAACAAAGTCACTGGCTCAAAGATGAGCGCGTTGCTTCATTTGGCAAAGAAATCAAAAACAGTCCAAGTATCGAACAACTATGCAACTGAGATCCAAGAAAACAATCCGAGTTTGTCATACCCCGCACGGCCACGCTGTGCTCCACAGCCGCATGAGCGGCTCGAAGGAGCTCCGTGTAGAGGCGCTGGCGCTTCAACTCCAGCTCGTCGCGTCCCACCGGCGTGACCGGTGGCTCGATGCAGCCGCTGGACATGGAACGAGGTCAGAGGAGAGGATATACTAATCGTGGCGCGAGACGCGATGAATCAACTGACAGGCCTGCTCTGGTTTTGCATTCAAAGTATCGCTTTATAGTTTAAACTTACTTGGATTTTCTCAATTTTAAAACAACGACCATTGCTTATAACTTAAAATTTTGAATCTGAGTAAACCCATTCTGCAGAATGCTTTTTCCCTGACTACCTTGATTCCCGTTTAGAGATCCCTATTCAACGAAAACTGCTCGGACTTGGCACTAATAAATAAATAAATCAGAAGATAGCTGATGATTGAGTCGCGAAACCAGAACCGGCCATACAAAAACGCTTTAGTAAGCAGCATACATCTCGTTAAGTCGCTCGTCGTTAAACCAGGAGGGCAGTCCGTGGGCAAAGGCCAGTGTCTCCGACACGAGATCCCCCTCGATATACGGCGCACACATGCTCTCCCGCTTCGGTGGAGGCAGCGAGTCGGAGAACACCTCGTCATCGTCCAGAAGCGAGCCCTGATTTTGGCTAGCAATCACGAGCAAAGGCAGCGGTTCGGGCTCAATGATCTCCGCCCGGTTGCTGATGTTCACCTTCTTTTTGATTGACTGATGTGTGGAGTTGTGCCTGGAAAGGCAGCTCTTCGTAGGCGGCGGTTGGGGTGGCGGTGTGGTAGCCGTAACTGCCGACACCACTACATCATCCTCCTCATCCGCCCCGGCGCTGGTCATTGAAGCAGGTGGTGCCGTGGATGTAGAGGAGTGCGTGGAGCGAGCTAATGTTTCTGTCTCTACAGTTGGTTCAGGTGCTGGCTCTGGTGCCGGTGCTGGTGTTGGCGCTGGAGTTGGTGATTTATTAGCAGCTTCAGTCGGAGTAGGATTGACTGTGGAAGTGTTGCTTAAGATTACTTTACATGATGGCTTTAATGGCACAAACGATTATTAAGGAAAGCGCCGATACTTGAGTTGATTACTTCACTTTAAGCTAGCTATCTTGGCCTTCTTTGCTTCCTGGTTCGCTCAAGGCGTTAACTTATGTAATTTATTGCATTTAAAAACCATTTTCAATTACAACTATCCATTATTAGTTTAAATGATAAATGCACTGATTATAGTGAATAAATCTTTGTAATACAATATCCTACTGCCATTATGCAAATCAAGAATGTCTATTGATATTTCAAATTGATAACATTCATTATTAAACAACGCACAATTGTGGTCAACAAATATTTGAAATTGGGTTATTTTTGATCGTTTTGTTTTTCTTATAGCATATGCTACATATATATCTTTAAATATTCATACTACTTATTCTTAGAGCAAACACTTTGTAAGCCCAAAAAACGAAAACCATAACCTTGTTTCATATTTTTATATGTGTGACCTTCCTTGTACAATCACTTTGAGCGATGTGCACGATTAAACAGTTTTATAAAAATAAAATTATACTCATGTAGTATGAGTAATGTCATTAGCTATTCTCATTAATCAACTCGGAATCGGCACTATTCCTTGGTATATTCCACATTTACGTAAATAAAATGTACAAAAAGTGCTGTGGAAACCAACGAAAAAGTGAACCTAAGCAGCCACCAAGAGCCACTTGAAGTACATAAGTTCAAAATGAAAAGACAGGAAGTAGAATAAAGCTCCTGGTCAGAGCTGCAGTAAATGTGCAGTGATCCGGGGCTCGTTCCGGAGAGGGCACCCAAGCCGAGTGCTCTCTGCCCAGCTGTTGAGCTGCCGGATAGGTGGAGAGAGGAGTGTGTATATACTTAGGGATGTGTCAATACCAGTAGTGTCGGTCTTTGGCTGGGCCTCTTCCTCCTTTGTCGGATTATCCGCTTCAGTTGGTTTTTCTGCCTTAACGCAAGGCTCTTGCAGCGGCGACTCCTTTTGTGACTCTTTAAGCGGCTCCTTCTCCGGTTTACCATTTAGCTGCGGTTCTCCCTGCTGCGGCTCAGCGCCCTCTTCAGTGTCCTTGCTGGTTTTATCCTTTTTGCCTGCCTTGGCATTAGCTCGACAGCATGAGAACATAGTGCAGGCTCTTTTCTTGGGACTTACTACGGGACTCTCAGGCTCTAAATACGAAGCAAGCACATTATGTAATTGACTTTCCTTGGCGGATTCGTTCGTTTCCCCTGCTTTGCTCAAGCGGCAGCGGTCACAACACTGGCAGCCATACAAAGGGCTTGGATTCGGTTAGCGGGCACTGGCAGAAGCCGCAAAGGTGGAGCCCGAGTGGCGACCACTCCTTGCTCATTTAGCTGTGTGTGTATCACTGCGGATGCGACGGCGGCAGCGGCGACACATTAAAGGCGAAATGGAAACAAGTTGGTCCACGAAACAGACGAATCGCTCCGGACTTCCAACTGGGTCAACAGGACTGAGGAACACAATTACGACTGGCACACACACTATTGAAGAACACACCCTAAACAAAGCGCACGCCCACGGTTCGGATTCAGAGTACGCATTCGGAGTTCCGACAGGAGTCCCGCTGCTAACCCGCTGTTAGCAGTTCTGTTAACTCTGTTAGACTTCAAACTTAAATTTCGTGGCCTTTTTTGGGGAAAAGCGCCGCTTGACCATTTGGGGCCAGCTATCGGAGTGGCAATGAAAATGGATTTCGCATTTGGAGCCGGCAGGATTTTGTGCAAGCTTCAAATCTTGCACAATTGGCAGCGATGGAGAAAGCTTCGACTTTGAGTTGGCGGAAAATGGGGGAAACTCTCTGAGAGAGTGTATGCGCAGATGCTTTTTTCTGCCTTACTACTGCCAATGCCAATGAGTTTATTGCACCGGCGGCACACACAAGTTGTTTTTGTCTTTAAGTAGCTTAAAACAAATGGCTGGCAATTAAGAGTGGGAAATGCAGCCGGAAAAGGAGAGGAGGGGATGGCCACTAAGCTGAGATTCAACTTTCGCCCGGCTCTAATACTAGTTCTTGTTTTTGTTTTTTCTGTTGCGGCAGATGCGTTTGTTGCGTGCAAAAAGGAGGAAAAACGAGAATGCAAGGCAGAGATTAAATGTCTGCAGCTGAGTTACCGTTATCTTCTGCGTGTGTGAGTGGGCTCGAGTTACTGCGCTAATGGAAAACTGAAGCCAGCCGCCTTTTAAGGCCATGTATTTTTTCCACATAACTAGTAATCTCTCTCTGTACTCTTTCCGCGGCACTCCACAAATTTATTATTAACTCTGATAGCGCGCATTTTGGCCATTTTTTGAGTCATCAGCGGCACAAACACAAACAACTGGGTTTGGTCTTGCGTAAACTATTGTGCGCCGGTGTGCGAATGGGCGTGTTTGTGTGCGTGTGAGTCAGCAAACAAAAACAAAAGATGGCCACAACAGCTGAGTAGTTATAATGTCGTGGTATCGGAGGGTTAACAACCACGACGCCTGGAAGATTCGCTGGGCAGCCAAGGGTTAATTTGCATACACTTGCTGGCAATTAATTGTGGCATGGAATCGGATATGAAATCATCGTCAGAAATACCCTCAATATACAGGGGACCTTGCGTGTATTGGTGTGCGGTGTGAATTTAATTTTACAAACAAAATGAATCACACAAAAATAGCCATCACATCCAAATCCAAAAGCACAGCTGTCTCTCGTCTTTTATCTCTCTTCCACCACAAGTACGACACCCACAGCATGCACACACATACACGCAGGCACTAGGACACCGACATCTCCACCTGCCCCCGCCCAAAAGCTATTCAGCAGACAGCCTGGGCCTGGCCGGCGAATTGCAGTAAATTATATTTGCAAACAAAACTACAACAAAAGCCCCGCTTAAAACAACTAAGGCGAGACAGAGACAGCGGCTAACGAGTATTACTCACCTTATTTGTTGCTTGAATTGGCAAAGAACTGCAATTTTCACTTCACGAACAGAGGCGAACCGGCAAAGGCGAAAACAATAGCGAATAATCTGCGAATATGGTGCTGGCAAAGCATCGGAGCGCTATCGATACACCGATGATTGAACATATCGGAAAAATATCGCTATGGTTATGGCCGTATGACACGGAATGCAGTTTTCATGATCCGACAAAACAATAAACAATAAAAAGGCCGCAAAACTAAATTTCCAGAATGAGAGTAACAGAATTTTGCTCGTGAATTTTCCAGAATAACAGAAAAACCAGCGAATGCAAATGCTTTCGATACGGGTCAGCTTTGTTAGAGATGGCCCCTCAGCGACATTTCACAGCTGTTTTTTGCAATATATCGAAATGAAAAATATGTGTGACCAGAGCCGCCCAACCAGATTATGTCGAATATTTAGATTGACATCCGCTGGTCACACAAAAGAACACGTACTTCTGAGAGAGCGCATCGGTTAAAACGAAATAAGCTTGGATAACACGATGACCCCGCACCCAGAGTGACTGAGCAGTTCGAGAACCGACCCTGGACAACCGTGGGTAAGCCCCTGGCTCCTCTCGGATCAGTTTTAACGATATGCATCCCCCTTGCAGGTTATGTCCGCTTGTGTACACTGCGAAGGGGAACCGAAGAAGCAACAGGAGCGGATTCCGAGCCGAAGAGAGCGCACATTCCACCGCCCGCCGCCACCAGCATGATCACGGTTTTCTGCCTGCTGCTTGGCAAGCTGCTGTTCCTCCTGGTTGTCGGCTACGAGCTGCTGCAGCGGTTTCGCGACCGGCTGAATGCACTGGCCCGACGGTCATATGACCTCTGGCGCGGCGACGCAGCACGTGAGCTGCATGAGCGGCGCGTGCTCGCCGACTGCCGCTCCCAGCTGACCAAGACGCCGCAGCATTTGGTGCTGGTAATCTCGCCCAGCGACGGCTATGTGGATGCGCTGCTCCTGAAGCGCATCTTCGGCTTCGCCCTGGACGTGGGCGTCAAGCATGTCAGTGTGTACGATAAGCGGATGAAGGACAGGGGCTTCGTGGAGCTAGCGGACCTGTGTCGGTCGGCCAACGAAGGCAGCGGAAGATGCTTCAAGTGGCCACCAAGTCAAAGCAAGCCGGAAAGTGAGTCAAGAAACGGACAAAATACCAATGGTTATGCGAACGGTACAAGTGGTTCGCATTTCCCCCAGCAGTTGCAGGTGAGTGTGTGTGTGCTGGCGAGCGGGAACTGATAACCAAGCAAGTGCGAAGAGATCGAATATTGAAATACCCTAAAAAAGCAGCCTAAGAAAATAGATTTTTATTATTTTCAATTAATTCTTATTCGATTTGAAATTCATTAAAAAAAACATTAGATTAAATATCAACAATGCATTTTAAAACTAAACTATTGAAGCCATGTGGCACTCCTTACGTTTGCTTAACACTTTAATCCGACTAAAAAACATTAAAACAATAAGAAATTCAAAAGATTTTTCAGAAACAATCTTAAAAAGAATACTCTTTGTTTCATGGACAATCTATAACTATCAATTAAACAAGTCATTACACCTTGTTTAAACCAATAACAAGCAAGATAAGATTTTGATTTCCAATAGTTCCTTAACCTATTGGTCAAAGTACAAGATTCTGTATAGTTTTTTTTTATTAATATTGTGTGTACTTTGTTCAAATTCTTATTAAAGTAAAGAAGAGTATTCAATGCTTGATATCAATTCAAGGCACTTGTTTGTTGTCTTCTAATTCCCAAAAATCTGAAGTCTCATTGGAAGAGTACACATATCTAAAGCGATTCCCGGAACTAATCATTGTCTTATCAGTTTCTAATTAAGTTTTCTTTTTCCTTCTTGCAGCTCTATCAAATCGATGAGTCTGATGGCCATGCCCTCATAGCCGAAGTCTGTCGGGAGCTGTATGAGGAGAGGGAGACGCCGAAGGTGCAAAATTTACTCAGCCAAAAGCGCGAAGCGCTCACCGAGCAGATCAGTGGCATGCTGGCTAAGCGACTTGGCTTTGAGGCACCGGAACCCGACCTGGGCATCGTGTTCGCGCGGCAGACATGCACCTTCGGCCTGCTGCCGTGGCATGTGCGCTTTACCGAGTTTCACACGCATCCAAGCGGACGGTACTTTGACGTGGAGACGTTCGCCAGCATCCTGTGCAAGTACTCGCGGTGCGAACAGCGCTGGGGCAAGTAGGAAGCGGGCTGCGGAGCCCTTATATTAACTAGTTACCTTAACTTTAAATGTAAATTATCGCCAGGAATTCCTCTAGCACGTAAGAATAAACCACATTGTTCGTAATGAAGTGTATGTATGTATTATGGGCAGGTATTTGGGGATTTAAGATCGTTATGTTTACATGTAAGTGGGCTGACTTAATGGCTATGGTTAGAAGTATTGTATTTTTCTCATTTCGGGGGAGTCTCTAGCTCCTTCCCTGCTCTTGCTCCTGCTCCTGCTCTTACTCTCTTTCAGGCTCAACATGTCGCTTGGAAAGCAGGCTGACGTCGGTCAGATACTTGTTCTTGTCAATGGTGTGGGGCCCGGGACCCGTGGGCATCCGCTCGTGGAGCAGATGGAAGGAGTTACGCAGATCCTCAAGGGAGTCGGCCAGCCCCTTCTTGATGTTGGCAAACTCGCTCGACATCAGCGACAACTTGCCCAGCAAGTAGTTGAGGTTCTCGTCCATATCGATCATGTGCTTCTTAGTTTCCTCCACCTTGCCGCCCAGTCCCATCATCGTGGCCAGAGTGCTGTTGATGTACCCATCCGATGCGGACTGGATGACGCCCAGCATTTCCCGGCTCTGGCTGATCTCGCCAGCCATTATCTCAATGCGATGCCAGACCTGACTCAGCTCCGTCTCCAGGAGTCCACTCAAGTTCTTGTTGGCCTCCTGCTGCGTGCCCACAATGGTTCCGTCCAAAGCGGAGAAGCGCTCCTTGAGCAGTTCGGTCAGTTGGCTCACCTGCTCACCAAGCAGCTTACCCACTCGCTGCACCACGTTCAGCGTGCCAAACTCCACCTTGCGTTGCGTGTCTAGAACCACCTCCGAGTTGGTCATCATGATGTTGTTGAATTTACCCAGTGCCTCCAATCCCTCGGTCAGCTTGCTGTTGCTCTCGTTCGCCGAGGTCAAGTATTTGTTGAGAGTTTCCACGTCAGCGGTGAGCTGGCGGACGTCCGCCTGGATGTTGGCCTCCGTCTGCTGCATTCGCTCCGTGGTCTCCCGCAAGGCTTTGTGTGGGGAAAGAAAGCGAAAAATATAAATAGTCAATAGGTTTTTACCTTTGGGACTTGAAAGCATAGAAGAGTTATGAACCCACCCGATTTTTGAGAAGCCATGTTATCGTTTTTAAGCTGCGCCAAGGCATTCAGAGTGTCATTATTCAGTTCCTGGATATAGGCCCGATCCTTCTCATTCAGACCAACGGGTGCAGCCGGACTCTGAGCTTTCTCGCTTAACTGCGAAACCTTTCCTTCCAAGTTATTCAGAGTCTTCAGGAGCTGGGCCTCAAACTCATCGTTCTTGGGCGGAGCAGCGGTAGTCACCGAAGCCGCCGCCTCGGAGTGCTGCTGGAGCTTGGCCTCGATCTGAGCAAGAAGCTCCTGGCCCTTGGGCAGGGTGTCGAAATTCTGCTGAGTCTGGACAGCCGCCTTCTGGCTGCTCTCCTTGAGCGAGGCCACGCTGGCTGAGAGTTTCTGGATCTCCTCCAGAAGCAGTTTGTTTACGCGCTGCTGCTCCTCCAAGAATTCCTTGGGAATGGTGGGAGTGGTGACCGGAGCCGGAGCAGCGATCAGCTTGGAACTGAGCGGTGGTCGCTTGAAGCACTCGTCGTTCTCGCGCATCCACTTGAACATGTGCTCGGTGGCCTGGCTGAATCGTTCCGACTGAGTGTTGTACTTTTCCTCTTGCTAAAGTTATTGGTTTTAAAAAATTATATTATAGAGGCAGTGTTGTTTATCTTCATTATTTTACTGTTTAAAATATGCACGGATACCAAAGAAATTGATAAACCATGAAATATAAAAGTCCAAATCTATGAAATAATTTTTTTGAGGATGTACAATTTGGTAGCATTCTATTGAGCCATATTTAATACATGTAATAAATAGCCAAAGATATATTTACGCCATTGGGGTACTAATCTAATATCTGTACTTTACATCAAATAGTTTAAAAATAAAATTTTCAATGGATTTTTAATCAATTTAAATAATGTCCTAGAAGGCTATTCAAGATTTTTACAGCTACTTAAAGAACTGTCAAGATGCTTTTTAAAGTGAGTTTAATTTTTAAGTACTTCATTTACCAGAACATTGGCTAACTTACTGTTATTAGCATGGTCTCTATTTGGCTGACCCTGTCGTCCAGGCGCCCAAAGATCCCATTGATCGGTTCCAAGCTCTTCTGGCCCTTCTGCAGCGACTGCAGTGCCTTCTTCAGCAACTCGCCGAGGGCGCGCTCGCGATGCTCGTGTCTCTCCAGCTTATTGTCCAGCTGGTTGTAGGAGTAGATCAGCGACTGGATGGTGCCACGCAGCTCCTCGTTGCTGCAAGGAGTCGGGGGACACGGAGTTTTCTTAAAATTAGCCTCGCTCTAGGTCATTAATCATCAACAGTGGGGCTGGGGGATGCGCAATGGACGGGACCACCACCATCAGTGCTTGTGCATCTATAAATATTGAGGGGCGCGATCGCGATCATGGATGGATATGTGGATAAGTGGTGGTGGCCCGGCTCTCAGGGTCAGGAACCCTATTCCTAATCCAAAGCTGTTTGTATGAAGTGCACGACGGTGCCGACGGATAAGAGCATGGATATAGGGGAAGCAGAAAACACATGCTGCTCTATCCCACTCCAGGGCACCCTCCCCATTTACCAGTTCTCAGTTCCCAGTCCCATTTGCATGAAGTGTGCACTAAAACATGCCTAGTCCCATCCCAAGTCCGAAAATAAACAAACAAATAAGCGGAACAGCCAACATCTTGGCTTCCCTTTGAAGGCATTAGTCATTAGTGTATGTGGATGTAGATGAGGCTGTGCATGCGATGCGGATGCACCCATCCGATGGCCAGGCGCCGACCGAGAACAACAGTCAGTTTGATGTCTTACACATTTCGCTAAAAACTCCGAGTGCAGTGGATGCGGCCAGATAGGATAGGAATAGGAACCACTCTGTCCCTGGAGCCAAGTGCGAACGAATGTGTGACATGTGTCTAAAGCCATAAAAAGAGGAGAGCTAGAAATGTGCATGGTTCCTTTGAATCGCGGGATTGGGGCGAGGGCGAGCTCTCGGAAAGTTGGAGCATCCAATTACCACCCTCGTACGAGAGATATGATTGCAGATTTATAGTTCTCCAACCCGAGTGTCTCACTCAAAGTAATTGGGTCTTAAAACTTGTTCATTTTAATGGGTTTACATTTAGATGGAATCTTATCAAACGCATTTTCCTTCAATTTCAATAGAACTTTGGTTAAAACAATTCGTATGAATTTTATAAATGGGATAAAAAAAAGAGGGGATAACAATATAAAGATTATCATATTTAAAAGAGAACTGGCTAAGGATCCTTTAAAATTACCACGAAAAGTGGTTCCTAGGGAAACCCCCAGCTGACGGTATTTTCTAAACCAGCGTCTGATCTTATTTATTTGGTAAGCATGATATTATATTATATTAAGGAACTGGGCCAACTTAAGTAATTAAGTCGGTCGATCTAGTTTACTTACGTGACTAGCCCTGCGGCAATTGTCTGCCATTGAGCAGCTGCAATTAGAGCCAGGAATACTAATTGGAGTGTCCGACTGCCCTCGCCCATGGTGCGTGAGTGCAGTGCGTTTCCGATCTTTAATTGGGATGCTGCTTCGCAAATCCTATGCGAGATCTGTGGATAATCGAACGGAAATTGAATCAATGGGTAGATATAAAATTGAATATAAATTGCAATGGCGTCGTTTGCCTTCAGTTGCCATTGGTTGTTTGTTCAGAGGTGTTTCCTCCTTACGAATTACATCAACTTTTTGTTTATAACAAATAACTATGAACTAATAAACAACCCAAAATTGATGTGCGGTCTTTATGGGGGTGCAAACAAATAATAAAGAACTGCCGCTGATTTGCAACAGAAACAACTGCAAACAAAGCAAATTGGTTCCTTGTCCATTGTGCGGCTAGACCTCGCTGAATATATGTATATAGAGCCATATAACCGTTGATATTGTTCTTGCGGCGATAAACAAATGACGCAAAAGTATCTACTGGACGACTGCATGTGCCAGATTCTCCTTCAAAAGGGAGAGGAAGTGATGCATTTGGGAAATTGGGTCAGAAATATGCGAAATGAAATTTACGAGCTCAAAAATCGCACATCAACTGCCCTAGTTAATAAGCGAAGAATTGAAAACCCCATATACATATATACATAGAGAATGAAAACCTGAACCTATTTTGTTTATTGATAAGGACGCTGGCTTGGGTTAAAGGTTGATAAATTGTGATCGTTGTTAGGTACATCAAATATGTATAGTAAGCTAGTTTTTTCATATTTAATTAGATTTTTTAGTCGTAGTTACTTTTAAAGTATACTCACTTTTCTATTTAATGTTATTTTTAGGAGTAGAGTCGGGCACAAACACTGGGAGGAAAGGAGCACTTTATTTTAAGTTCGGAGCACTATTACTGAACGTCCTCACTGCTCGAGATCAGAGCGATGAATGATTCTGGCGTCTAGTCCGGAGGGGATGTGGATCCGATCCGTATGCCACTCTCTCCATTCTGCACTTTCCTCAGCGGCTGGAGAGACTCGCGGCGTCGCGGCATCTCTCGTATATGTTTTTAATAAAATGTAATTAAAAGCGAGATGAGATGGTGCTGAGTTCCCGCATCACACCCAGTCGGGGTGGTGCCTTCGAATCAAAATTCAATTTATTCTAATACAAAACCATTGAGTGCAAACAATGCAAACAAATGATATGAGTGCTGAACTTTAGATGCTTTTGCGGCGAAATCAAGACAATAAAAGCTTCGAATATGATGCACCCCAAATCGATTAATTGAGACGCCGAGCGGCCCCAATTTAATCTAATTTATACAGGCGCCAACTCCAGAAATATCAATCAAAGCAAAGACTCCAGGAACAAATTACTGGACATTTTTGGTAAATATAACAATTCAATTGTTATATTGTTTTTACAATTAAATGATCCTATTTAATTCTATTTTTAATCCTATTGATTTATTTTATTTGAATTTCCTTAAAAGTTGACTCTTTTAAAAAGTTTCTGCAGAAGTATAATTCCGATCCACTCAAAAAAAAAAAATATAAGTTCTAAAAATATCATACAAATAAAATAAAAAACAAGTAGGAAGTAGGAAGTACTGCCAGGATAATGTTGCGCAACACTCAGTTAAATACATATGTTGCTAGGAACATGTTGAGCAACACCCACTTTTTGGCGTTGGCAACACAAATAAAACCTCCGTCGAAAAATTTACTAACTCCCATTATTTATTTATGAGTTTTATTCACCGTATTATTATTCGATGTCACCACTTTTGGTACAGCTCGCTTTCGTAGCCTCTGAGATCTGTTGTTTCCATAGCTTGCAAATAACTGTCGACCGTTTTTTTTTCTTGTGCTCTCGTTGCGAGCACAACCGAAAAAGTTCATACTCTCTCGCTCTCGCTCTGAGCAAAAGAGTTTTGCTGTCTTCATTTCTGTTTTCTGTTGAGCGCTTTTCGTTGAGCTCTTTTAATTTCGGTCGTTCAATGAGCAGTGCGTAAAGAGCGGAACGAGAAACGCTCGCACAAAGAGAATCAGCAAAAGACCGATTGACCGAAAAACTCAGCGCAAACGGTCTTCACATTTACTTTCGTTGTTGTTGCAATTAATATATTTCATCAGCAAAACGAACGCTAGTGAATGTATACCAATGCATATGCAAAGAAATAATACAATTTGATTAATAGAACAATTTAATTTTATTTTCAAATATTTTTGTCTATGCGTGTGAATGTATACCAATACATACGCAAAAGAATTTTTTCTTCACTGAACACGACAAAACGGTCTTAGAACAACCGAAACAAAACAGAATAGAAAAGAACGGTTTCGCTCAGAGCGCGAGCGACCTCATTCCCATGAAACGGTTGCTTTCTGAGTCTTTTTGTAAAGAGTCAGAGAGGGACACTTATTTGCAGACAACGAGAAACGGTCGACAGTTATTTCTAAGCTCAGGTTGTTTCACACTTTATTTAAGAGTGCACCAGAAATAAACAATTCTGGATTCTGAAACACAGATTTAATTAAAGTTATTTTTTATTTGCTGTAGTTTAAATTCAAAACTGAAAACATAAATTTGGCGCCAACAATAAAGTCCATTCGCGTGAAACGTAATGTTTATGTGGCGCAAGGGGAATGGCATTTCAGCTGGAGCGAAAGAAGAAGAAAAGTTGCCGGAAACCAAAATAAACATAAAATTTTGAATTTTTTTGAAGAGCACAAAATGCCCACCTTAATAGCGCTAGATGCATCGCTTTCTATGCTGCGTCCCGTTCCAGGAAGGAATGAGCACACCTACCAGTCGCTAGCCATCAAGGGCATCCAGCACTTGCTGGACAATCTCTCGGCTGCAGGCAAGCTGGAGCACCTGGCCCTGCTCTCCTACACAACCACAGCGGAGCTGAAGGTGGACTTCACCAGGGACTACGATCAGATCCGGCAGGCGGTGAAGAAGGTGGAGGCCGTGGACAAGGCCTGTCTGATGAGCATGCTCAAGGCGTCTGTCTCCATAATGTCCACATGGGGCTCCCAGAACATTCTGCAACTAGTGGTGTTCACCGACTGCGGTCTCGGCTTTGGCAGCACCTCGGTCACCGGATTCCTAGACGCCATTGCGAGCAACGATGCAGACTCAGACTTTGCCTGGCTGAAAACGCTGGCCAACTACAACGTGAACTTTATCTGCCTGGGACTGCATGGCGACCACTACTTCACCAGGGGTCTGGCTGTGTATCAGCAGCTGCTGGACAAGGCCGGACTAAAGGGTGAGTCCCAGGACGCTAGCTTTATAAAGGGGCATCCGAATTGATATCTGACTGGTGCATTCCTAGGCCAGCTCTTCATGACCAAGCCTGCGAAGAACGCAGAAGCGGTTGAGGGCAATCCAACTCCCAACCCGAATCCCAGCCACAAGAGCGAACTTGGACGCACCACCGTTTTTGAGCTGATCGAGCGACTGTGCGAGACGAGCTACAAATCCACGGAGGTGACCCTCAAATGCGGCAGCTACTTCCGCATGGAGGCGCCCGTATTGCTCTGGCCACCCACTGCACCCTACGAGCAGCCATCGCCGGTCTTTGGCCGGCAACCCACGCTCCGACACATCGATCAACGGATCGAGGTGTGCGGATTCCTCGCCCTCTCCGACATCGGCTCTCCGGCCACAATGAGCCGCCATTGGGTGCTGCCGAAGGTGGAGCGGGAGAAGGGTGGGGGAAGCCGCCGGTCCGGAGGCCTGGCAACTGCCGCTAAGCCGCCGAAACTCAACCTGGACACCAGCAATCCGAACTACGAGCTGGATAAGCTGGAAACGGATATTCGGGACTTTTACGCCAAGGATCCAAAGGATACCGAGGAGAGTGGCGATGATGCGGATGTAACCATTGTCGTAAAACATTCCTCAGGCCCGCAGACAGAGCAGCAAAGGGAAAACCTATGCGTCCTCCTGCACGGCGCACTCAAAATGGAGAACATGGCAGCCCTAGTCCAGGTGTCGGATAAGTGGTACGGGTTCATCTATGCATTCACCGACAGTAAGAAGAAGTCGAATCTGATGCTCAACATACTCCCGCCGGGCACTAATGTGATACCGTGGGTCGGTGACTTGGAGTTGCTGGGATTCCCCGAAGACCTAGTCCCAGGTGAATCGGCCAGCTTTCCGGTGCGTGCTGACCGGCGCTCCTATTCCCAGAGCAGTGTCGTGTGGATACGACAGGCTAGCCTGCAGTCGGACGTCCAGAAAGTCCTTCGGCATGCCAAGAAAATGCCGGACAAGACGCAGAATTTCTACAAGGAGCTGAATCGGATTCGGCGGGCTGCCTTGGCCCTGGGCTTCGTCGAGCTGCTTGAAGCCTTGGCCATGCTCCTGGAGAAGGAGTGCGCGCACCTCACCCTGAACGGAGCCAGCAACGAGTGCACCATGCAGCTGCAGCACGCGGCCACGGAACTGCGAAAAACCTCGAATAGGGATATCAAGTCTACGATAGTGCCGCTGCAGAAGGTGGGCGGTGCTCCCGATGCAGGCAGCACGGCCACGGCCCCTGCTCCTGGCTATATGTATTAATAAAAGTACACATATGGACAAAATAATAGGTGTGAGTTTTTTTTCTTTGTTAACGTTTAATTTCTAATTTATTGCTTTATAAATCTTAACAAATCAAGTTTTTTTCATAACTCATAATATTTGTCTACATTTACAAACTAAAAACAGCTATACAAACTCTCTAATAAAAAAGAAAAACCATTTTATAGTTAAATTCACAAATTTCGCCTGGACAAAATAATAGGTGTAGGATGATTAATTTTCAAATTATATCGATTTTTCAATCAATTTGGTCCTGTTTCAGTTTTAAATCACTAATTGGCAGTCAATAATTGGTATATCCGCCATTATTTTGTAGAATTTTCTCCATTCGTCTTGGCATGGACAATATTAACTTGCGACAAGTTTCAACTAGGATGTTGTACCAAGTTTTTTGGACAATATCCTTAAGTTGACCGATATTTTTGCAAAAAGTCCTTCCAACTTCTCTTTTAAGTTCACCCCAGAGATTCTCAATGGGATTGAGATCCGGGGATTGACTTGGCCACTCAAGAACATCCACCTTTTGCTCCCGGAACCAATCCTTTACAACTCGCGATGAGTGTTTCGGGTCATTATCCTTTTGGAACTTCCATAAAAGTGGCATATTATCCTCGGCATATGGTAGCATTACTGTCTCCAATAAGTTTTTATAAACGAATCTATCCATGATTCCGTCGATTCGATGAATCGGACCAACACCATCCCAAGAAAAGCAGCCCCATACCATTAAGCTACCACCTCCATGTTTCACGGTTTTACATGTGTACCTGGCGTCAAATTTTTTGCCTTTAGGGCGACCAACATTCCTTTTAGGGTCATTACCAAACAAATTATTTTGGTTTCGTCACTCCAAAGGATATTATGCCATTTTTTCTCACCCTGCGGGCCGCACCAGGTCTTATGATCTAATGCAAACTTTTGCCTCATCTGTAAATTTGCCGTCCGGAGCAAAGGAACTCTTCGGGCAATCCTACCTGGTAGGTTTGATGTAATGCTACCATATGCCGAGGATAATATGCCACTTTTATGGAAGTTCCAAAAGGATAATGACCCGAAACACTCATCGCGAGTTGTAAAGGATTGGTTCCGGGAGCAAAAGGTGGATGTTCTTGAGTGGCCAAGTCAATCCCCGGATCTCAATCCCATTGAGAATCTCTGGGGTGAACTTAAAAGAGAAGTTGGAAGGACTTTTTGCCAAAATATCGGTCAACTTAAGGATATTGTCCAAAAAACTTGGTACAACATCCTAGTTGAAACTTGTCGCAAGTTAATATTGTCCATGCCAAGACGAATGGAGAAAATTCTACAAAATAATGGCGGATATACCAATTATTGACTGCCAATTAGTGATTTAAAACTGAAACAGGACCAAATTGATTGAAAAATCGATATAATTTGAAAATTAATCATCCTACACCTATTATTTTGTCCAGGCAAAATTTGTGAATTTAACTATAAAATGGTTTTTTTTTTTTATTAGGGAGTTTGTATAGCTGTTTTTAGTTTGTAAATGTAGACAAATATTACGAGTTATGAAAAAAACTTGATTTGTTAAGATTTATAAAGAAATAAATTAGAAATTAAACGTTAACAAAGAAAAAAATCTCACACCTATTATTTTGTCCATAAGTGTATATGTTTATTTTCCTTTTTACAAAAGTGTTGCATGTTATTTTTTTAGGTCTACTTTTGGTAATGTTTATTTAAGTTAAATAGCTTTGTGACTTAAGAGTACTCATTATATTTTTATAATATTAATATTAAATTTACTTAAGGGGGGATATACATGTAAGCGGTCAAAATTTGGCCATTTTTCGAGAATTTTTTTTATAAGAAATAGTCAAGCAATCGTCGTGAAACTTTGGATATATTTAAAAGAAGAATCAGAAATGATAAAAAAAATTAGTTATAAACAATATTTTACAAAATGGCGGATTTATGGAACATATTCCGTAGCGCCTCGAGCTTTGAGTTGCCGTGCTATGGACACGATAGAGCTCGTAATTCCTGCCCGAAATCCGTAAACTAAATTTTTTTGTATTCATTACACCTGTATCTTCTATTTGAACCTAAAAAACCAAAAGGAAATCAAGACAAAAAAATTAAATTTTGATTTGAAGGAAAAAAAGCCATTTTCAGGTGATCAGTTTTCACTTCCCACCCTCTTAAAAAATAGTAATACTCAGTTTTATAACAACCATGTAGGTTCAAATAGAAGATAATTTCATGCTGATCATAATAATTTTTGATTCACTCCGATATGTTACATATTTTTTTGTGAATCGTGTCCAGAGCATAGGTAAAAATTCAAGAATTTAAAGCTGAGAAAAAGACGTTTAAAGTTTTTGATGCGCTCACGTTTACACTTGTATACCTTGCGTACATACTTGATTTGAGGCACTTAGAGTTGGCATTTTATAATGAAACTTATATAGTATATTCTTTAAGTAATAAACTATATTTTAAAGCAAAAAAAAAATTTGGCCCAAAAATTTTGGTTTACATGTATATCCCCCCTTAAGATAATGGTTACAAAATAATACATTAAATTAAAAATTTAATGAATAATTTACAAATTTAAAAGTAGATTGAAGATTATATTGTATGGGAAATCACCTTATTAAATTTTCTTTCATATTTATATAAAAAAATTTTATTTAAAACGAAAAACGAATATCAAAATAAATTGATTTAATAGTAAGATTGAATTTTTAGTTAGAAAATAACATACAAACAGTTAAAATGTATTTTTAATTTTATTTAAAAAAAAACTGGAAATTATCATTTTATATTTTAATGGTATTTTAATAAATTGGTAGTTTTTGGTATTTATTGCTGCTCGTGATGGTATTTTTTATAGTTACGGTCACGCTAATATTATTGTTATTGTCGAGAAAATAAATAAAAATATACAAAAACGGCAATGGGAGGACCGGAATTACCCACAGATCCTGGCCAGGAGATGTTTCCAACCCCGGCGATTGACCATCCTCAAATTGGCATGCAGAGCGATGACGAAAATGACGACTCGGACGCATACGATGGCTACCAACCATTGGCCATGGATGAGGGTAACGATGGAGCAGACATCGCGGTAGCCTCTGGGGAACCGGAGGCGGCATCAGCTACAGATAACGACGAAGATATCGACCTGATGACGGCCCCAGTCACTCACGGCGATCCCAACATGCCACCAATAGAGTCCGCGGATGTGGAAATCGAGCGGCAAGTGTGGAATGAGCCCAGGCCCAGGGAACTGCAAATGGAGCTAGATAAGACACGAACAGAACAGGTTACTAAATTAAAAGGAACTGTGTAAACTGAAGATGCACTAACGTTTTGCCTTATTTCAGATCCTCAAGGCCATGTCCACCATTACCTTGCCAAACATCACGATTCCGGATTGGGCCAAGGGCGTTCCCGAGGAGCGATGGAAAGGGGAGCTGTTGGATCGAATTAACAACCGGCAACATCCATCGAGGGATTCCTCATCGGCGGACAAGCCCCAGCATTCCAAATCTCATATAGATTAGTGTATATAATTTTATTATATTAGTCAGAAGTTTATAATAAATTAAATTAAAAGATTAAACGATTTGTCATCTGTAATCAATTACATAGGTCGAAAAAATAATATAATACGTATGGTTCATTGAAAGAAACAATAAATTACAGAAATTAAATCCGATATTTTTTTTTAAACATCGATAATCGTAACAGAACATCGATTATTGCGTCGGTGTTTTCTCATCTCTAGCACAGCGTTTTAAGAATCAGGTGTTTTTGTTTACTATTTTTTCCACTAGTTGAATGGCAGTTTAACGAAATATATATATTAATCTACCGAAATCGCCAATTTAATTGAGTGTTTTGGTGTTTAATGTATTAAAAGTTGACACAAGCCAGCTTTTTCTTGGCATCTCTTTCCGATATATTAGTAAACTTACAAAATTACACGTCGGTTACTTGAATCAGTTGGATAAACTGGGAGAAATGGAGGGTTCGGAACTCACATTCCCGAAGGACGGCCAGGCATCCCGTTCACAGTTCAACAACCAAGTCATCATCAAAAAGGAAATTGAAGAATTTGAGCGTGCCGAAGGGGAGGATTCAACTACAGACGGATTCCTAACACAAGTAAAGACAGAAATCATGAAAGAGGAGGATTCACCGGAAAGCGGTGGGATTCACACTTACCAATCGGTTGATCCTGTCAAAAACGAATTCTTCGAAGAGGAGGTACAAGGATCAGGGGCTACGTATACTTACCAGTACATCGATAATGAAGAGAGTGAAGTCACGGAGGAACATGTACCAGAGGAAGAGCCAGATCCATTTAGTGACCTGGTCCCGTGTCAAGTAAAAAACGAACCCATCGATGAAGAACCCGAGTCAGACGACGAAATCGATCAATTTGATTGCCATGTGAAAAGCGAGGAGATGGACGATGACTTACTTGAAGATGAGGAGGATCATAATGATGTCGACAAGCCACAGGAAAGCGAGAAAGATGAGGATAAGTATGCGAATCTCCCGCACAAGTGTCCCCATTGTCCGAAGGGATTCCGGCTCTTGGCTCAGCTCAAAATCCACATCCGAGGTCACACCGGCGACAGTCCACACAAGTGTAAAAACTGCTCCAAGACTTTCGGAACGGCTGCTCACCTTAACAGGCACTGTCGATCCCACACCGGAGAACGACCCTTCGAGTGCACCCACTGTCAGAAGGCCTTCACAGCTCTGTATCATCTCAAGGTGCATCTGCGCACCCACACGGGCGAGCGGCCGTACCAGTGCCCCCACTGCCCAAAGACTTGTATAGTGAAGGATAACCTCCGGAACCATATCCGCACCCATTTCGAGGAGAGACCGTTCCAGTGTCCGCAATGCCCGAAAGCCTTCAAGGTGAAGCACAACCTCAAAATGCATATACGAACCCACTCGGGCGAGAAGCCGTTCAGTTGTCCCCACTGCTCCAAGGCCTTCACAGGTGAACCGTATCTCAAAGTTCACATTCGGACGCATACGGGCGAAAAGCCGTACAGTTGTTCCCTCTGCCCTAAGTCGTTCATCAACAGGCAGTGCCTGCAGGTCCATTTCCGCACCCACTCCGGCGAGCGTCCGTACAAGTGCACCCACTGTCCCAAATCCTTTGCCAAACACTCCGGGCTAACCGAGCATGTCCGGATCCACACGGGTGAACGACCGTACGACTGTTCCGCCTGCCCCAAGGCATTCATAACCAACCAGGATCTGAAGCGGCACATGAGAATGCACACGGGAGAGCGCCCCTTCAAGTGTACCCTCTGTCCCAGTTCGTATACCCAAAACTACTCCCTTCAGGCGCATATGCGAACGCACTCGGGAGAAAGGCCTTACAAGTGCACCGAGTGCCCCAAGGATTTCCAGTACCAAACCAGTCTGGAGTGCCACATGCAGACCCACTTTGGAGTAAGACCCTACCAGTGCACTGAGTGCACAAAGACCTTCGTAACGAGCTCAAATCTGGCGCGGCACGTCAAGAATGCGCACTGGACCTGAGTCACTTTAAAGGCTTCTCCTCAAAGGAAAGACTACTCACTTTATCCCGACCGCAGGCGGGTACAGGCTCCAGCTGGAGCTATAGAACACCATTGGGAATATCGTTAATATTTTGTATTTAGAAAAAACTCCACATCTCTCCCATTAATATAATTTTGACTGATAGTTAGTGCCCTGTGTGCTGCGGAGATCCGATCCTAGAAGGCGGCCAAGAGGGCGTTGCCCGCCGAATTCACCTTGCTAAAGTTTTCGCCCTGCGGAGTGCTGGACAGCTCCCTCAGCTTGTCCATCACATAGTCCACGGACACTACCTGGGCGATGGTCTCCTGGCCGCAGGGAGTGGTAGTCAGGTTGCCGATGGCCTGCATGGAACGGTAGCAGGCTTCCAGGTCCTTGGCCCACTTGAGCAGCTCCACCACTCCGGAGGTGACCTGATGGCACACCTCCGACTTGGCCACTCCCAGTGTCTGTGCTATGGTCACGTTTAGGTAGAAAGTGGCCACAGCAATCTGGAGGTTGGCACTGCCCGCCCTGATGCCCGCAATGAGCTCGATGATCTGCGGCAGGCGGCTCTCAACCTGCTGCCGTCCGGCAGCGTGGCCCAAGCTATTGGCCAGGCATCGCACAACCATCAACTGGTTTGCAGCAGATCCGGCTAACTGAGGAATCACGATGCCCAGGAAGCTGTGGCTGTTGTTCAAGACACTGAAGATGGCCTCGTTGCGGACGGCCAGGCGCAGGATGTCCAGCACCGGAAAGAGCATGGCCGCAGGCCACTTCAGCAGGATGATCAAGGCTTCGAGCGAGGTCAAATCCAGTTCTGGTGACGGCTCCGTGAGTTTGATGACAGCCAGTAGGACCTCCTCACCAACTTTTCCATCGGATGGCGTTAGTTTGTTATTGAATTCTCTTTAAAATAAAGGAAAATAACCATTAGGCTTAGGAAGAACCGAAAGAAATGTACAGCCTCCGGCTACTTACTTCATTTTCTCCAAAACTTTGCTAGCATCACAGGTGTCAAAGGTGCGGTAGCTGCTCACGGGGAAGTGCTTGTCCCCGGATCGCACAAAGTTCACGTCAACGCGCGACTGGGAATTGCTGTTGCTGCCCGTGGAGTAGCTTGAGGAGCCCGTGAAGGGATCCACATTGCCGCCGCTCTGCATGTTGGTGTTGCTCGAGCCGGGAACGTAACGAGAGCCGCCAGTAAACGGATCCTGGTAGCCACTGGGCGCTTGACTTTGCACAACGGGCGCAGCACCCTCAGAGTTTTTCACTATAAAGTTGGCCACCTGGTCGAGGTAAGCCTGAGGGAGTTCGTGGCGATGGATAAAGGCCTGGGCCGCCTGCCAGGGATCCTCGCCCCGGTTGTATGGCAGCTTAATAGGTGGTGCCGTATCGGAGATGTCCACATTAAACACAAAGTCGTACTCCTTGCCCTCGTACAGTTTCTTGCCGGAACTGGCCTGTGTGCCGCCAGTTGCTCCAGTCACATCTCCTATTAGATTCCAGTTACCCATGTCCCAGCTGTAGGCCTTGACGGAACCGTCCGGATGTCGCACCATCTTCGTTTGCCCCTCACGGGTTCCGTTCGAGAGCAGGGCCTCCGGACCTGGAAGACTGATGGAGCAAGAGTGCCGTTAGGAGACCTCTCCTAATGGGTATTTCATCTTATAGCTTACTCCGTTTTCTTGACACCCCCAATTTCCTCGGTCATCTGAGACTTCCTAGTGGCAACTGCCAAATCGAAGGCCCTGAGTGTGTCCTCGCCCGCCTGGCGAGCTGGCACCTGGGTGAAGACCCTCACCACACCATCGCTGCAGCCGGTGACGATGTCTCCGTTCTTTAGGCACGCCACAGACCACACAGAAATCGCTGGATGCAGGATAGGGGCACCCAGTTCGCTGCCGGTGATTACGTTCCACATTCGCAGCGTGCTGTCCTCGCCACAGGACACCACAACCTGATCTCCCAAGGCCTGATTCCTGGCCATCGCGTAGATGTAGTTGCTGTGCCCGCTCAGCTGGCGCACGCACTCCCCGTCCTCGTTCCAGAAGCGGATGATGGCGTCGTTTCCGCAGGAGAGCAGAGTGTTGGCCTCCAGGCCAATTAGGCTGCGCACACAATCCGTGTGCCCCTTGAGCAGCCTCAGCTTCTCGCCCTTCTCGCTCCAGTAGTAGATGTTCTTGTCTGCTCCTCCAGTCACGTATTTCCGCTGTTCCGGCAGCGTAGTTACGGCCCAAACGGCCGCCTCATGGCCCTCCAGCGCAATGAAGGTAACCTCACCCGTCTCGCTGATGTTCCACACCCTGGCCGTCTTGTCCCAACTGCCGCTGATCAGGCTGCGTGGCTGCAGTGCACCGGCCAAAGCGCAGACCGTAGAAGTGTGCCCCTTTAGGGTCAGCAAGGGCACAAAACCGTTTTCTTGCTTGTAAATGCAAATGGTGGCGTCGTTGCTGGCCGTGCAGATCCACTGCTCAGACTCCAGGAAGTAGATGTACGAGATGAAGTTCTTGTGGTCCTGCAGCGTCAGGCTCTCCAAATACTCGTTTCTGGATAATGAATGCCTTTAATAGCGGCTGAGGACCACTAAGCCCTGCACCGAACTCACCCGCTTGGCCGCCAGAGCTTCGCACTTTTGTCCCGCGAGCCAGACACAATGATCTGACCTCCGCCGTCCGGGACGCTGCCTGCCACGGCCACCGCTCGCACGTCCATGCTGTGGCCCAGTAGCTCGCAGCTCAGCTTGAAGTTATCCAGCGAGGGCTCCATGATTTTGTGTTTGGGGTGTTAAACTGCGCTCGTTCCCGAAAAAATGCCGACAAAGCCGATTTGTCATTCACCGCGAAGGGCAGTGTTGCAAAAAATCTGCACACTCAGATAGTGGTGGGCGATCCGATTCGCTTCAAGGTCAATAAACCCGCGGTTCCGATAGTTTGGCGAAATATTAGAAAAAACTATAATGAAATAATTTGTTTGCTACATATATATGTGGATGACACCTTAAAAAGCCAAACTATACAATTGTTAGGATAACTAATTAATTGAGAATATAAATTTTTGATCACTAATAAATTCTTCGACATTTCATGTGTGCTTATCGATAATTAACAAAGTCCTATCGCTCAATAACAACCTTGATTGTCATCTCTTTTGTTTTGTTTACTTTTTTTGTTTAGCAATGGGTGGCAAAAGTTACTACTGCGATTATTGTTGCTGTTTCATGAAAAACGACTTGAACGTACGAAAACTTCACAATAATGGCATTGCCCACACAATTGCAAGGGCCAATTATATGCGGAGATTCGACGGTAAATGCACCATTTAGATTCATATATTCAGAGATTTAAATGTTAAATTCACATACAAATGTAGATCCCAAAAGGATTCTGGAAGCGGAGCGCCTGAAAAAGCCATGTAAACGATATTTTAATGGATACTGCAAGTTCGAGCTGTATTGCAACTATTGTCATTACAGTGAGAAGGAATTAATGGAGTTGCAAAAAATAGGTGAGATTTTGGAATTAGCAATATTTCAATACTTGTAACTTGGTATCATTTTAGTTATTAAGCAAAAGAAGTCAGCTATCCGTAAAAAGAAAAATAAAGCCAAGAAATGGCCCTGGAAATCGCATCCTCAGACGGGACCATTGCCTCCATCGCTGCAGCCCATGAATTTGGCCAAGCTCAAGGAAACCAATTTTGACTTAAACTGGGGTGAATTAACTGCGCCGAGAAATCCATAATATGTATTTACAATTAAATGAAACAATTTTAATGTCAAGAATTTAAAATGGCAGTCACTTTGTCCATGACCCGAGAAACCTTCAAGTTGATGCGCAAAATGCGTGCGTATTCGTAGTGGAACGATTTCGGGGAATACCCGCTCAAGTTCTCCTCGTCCGGATCGGCCAGGTGGGCGAGCAGGAAATAACAAAAGTGTTCTGTTAATAAGATAAGATAAAATAAATTGAATCGTAAATATTAATACAAACAAACACAGGGGATTTAATCTAATGACAAACTCTTTGCCTCTCCTACCTTGCTCGCCCTCGACGGCATAGAAAAGAGGCGTATTCCCCGCCCTAGCCTCTGTTGAGTTGATCACGTTTGCTTTGAGCCGGCGGTTCTTCAACTTGTGTCTGTTCGCCTCCAGTCGATCGCAGGCACGATCATAGTACTTGGCAAAGGCCTTTTCGTCACTTTCACCGGAGCCTGGCATCTCAGTTGCTCTGTGGTAGATCGCTTTCCCCAAGTCCCGCTCGTCGATTATATCGAAAATTGCCTCGGCAATAAGGAACTGATTCTGTCGTACCGCCAGGTGCAGAGCTGTATAACCGTCATCGTTGGTCTCCAATAGGAGATTCAGATCGACCCTGCGCATTAGTATTCTAATAGACTCAATGTTTATGTTGTTAATCACCGCCAAGTGGAGGGCTGTGTTGGAGTTCTCGTAGACGTGGTCAGTCAGGCAACCAGCTGCCAAAAGGAGCGATGTGATCTCTGGATCAGTTTCGTTCGTCAACGCAAGCTCAAGACAATCTTCGCCATCGGAGGTCAGTAGTTCATTGATGTCCAAGTTGGCGTGGCTACACGCAAAAATCTGACGCCTCACTCCATAATTGTCATTGCGCAGTATGTCATCGTGGATGGGTCTGAAAGGGTGAAGTCATTTGATTATATTTAAAAGTCAAAATAATGCTCAAGGTCTTTGCAAAATATATAAAATTACTCACAGTAATCCCACCTCCGACCTAATTTGCGCCTTTTTAAATACATCGGCCATTATCTGTACGATCTTGTCTCTACTCGTACCATTATTTATATAGTCTTCCACCCGGTTAAGCTCGTGGTCATCTAAAGAAAAGTCCGAGCAGTCCGAGTCACGACGCTCTTGTGTTGCTTTTGGGGGACGGTTTATGTTTGCCGAGCTCTGAAAAAAATGCGTTTATTTTTAAGGATTTATTTACATTTTTTAGCAGGATATTTTTGCTATTTCTGTATCAGTCTAAAACAACAGGACTTATTTATTTTAAGCACTATTAATTCATATTTCGTTGCACTCACATTAAACTCCTGTTTTTTTCGCTTGGTAACCACGGGTGTGAGCTGTTTCTCATCGCGCTCCTGCAGTGCCATTTCAGCCGCCGACCTCTTTACCACCTGTGGCACGCAGGTGTTTCGCTTTCTTCCCCGTTTCTTGGCCACTTTGACGGGCTGACTGGGTGACGCAATGGGAGGGGGAGTCGGACTGTGTTCACTGGAGGTTACGGACGCCTTGGAATCGACTGATTCATGCTTTATCGCAGGCTTTTCCTCGTTTTTCATGGCCACATTCTTGATTGTGTCACTTTGAGAGGTCCTGGTCTCCGTTTCCGTCTCTGTTTGCGTGGATGCATCCACTTTTTGGGCTCCACAAGAGCACTGTTTACCTTGATGGGAGATAGTAGTCTTATCAACGCTACCATGGCCATTAATCGCGTCGATCACACGTTGCTGGAGAGCTTTATCGGGAATCCGCATGAGTAATTTGAAGATATCCTCGTAAATGGACTGGAAGGACTTGCGTTGCATGTAGGCAGTGCTCAACTGAGCCATGGGCATCGCAATTACCCGGACAGGCGCTGCTTGCTTGGAGGATAGATCTGCGCTAGCGACTGCCTGGATGTGCTGCGACTTTGTTAATAAAACTTTCTTCATCGTTTTTGCCAGTTATTTTACTGCTCGGGTGATCCAATCGCTGGCCGATAAGCTGCCTTTGTTGTCCGACGATTTAGGGGGAAGTCTAAGTTTAGATCGATACAAAACAATATAAGTTGGTTTTTCCCCAGACACGCTGTACGACAGTGTTGTGAAGTTGCGGAATTTTAAGTGTTCTCAGCACTAGTCGGTTGTTATTAGAGATGGACGATTAATTTGTTGGGTTTTCCGAGAACGTTTATAGTTTAATTTGTTCTTCTTTGTATCTGTATTTTAAGTGTTTGTTAAGCGATTTTAAATAAAAATATATTTCACACTAAAAATATATTTATAACATATATGTTATAATGTTTTTCATTTTAGTTGAATCAAAATATATTATACATTATATAATTAATAAAAGCGCTTAGACATTGAGCTATTGTAAATATTGTCTATTTTTTAAATTAAATTATTAGTAATTAATTTTATTAAACATTTATAATTAATTTTTAAAACGCTCGCTTGCATGTATCATCTCTAGTTCTGCGTTTATCGATATCATATCATTCGCGGTGACTGCCATGAGGACCAGTATTCTTGAGAAAAAAAAGATACGGTCCGACATAAAGATACCGGGGTTTTAATAAACATAATTAGCTAGTTGTTGGGTTTTAAGAGCCCTAGATAAAGTCCGACTAGATATATATGTGTGGCGCGTTTACGGATAAACAAGCAAAAGTCGGTTATGGACTCGCGTAATCGACGCAGCTACTCGGGGGGCAGTGGCAACGACGGCAGTGGGGGAAGGGGCGGCAATAGCACCGCCTACTACAACAGATCCCGCTCCCGTTTCAGTAGATCCCGGTCTCGGTCACGGTAAAAATAATACCAGCTCCATAGCCTACACATATATTCTTAATCCCAATATTATTCCCAGTGAGCGCAATCGTGGATTTGGCGGAGGAGGTGGCGGCGGCGGGGGATTTAGACATCGCAATTCTCGTTCTCGGAGTCGGAGTCCCGCCTTCAGGCACGACGAGCGCGGAGGACGCGGGGGAGGTGGAGGAGGAGGAGACCCTGACTTATATCACAACCTGATCAACGAGGACTACAGGGATGACGAGCGCAACTACAATCCAAGGAATAACTTCAATAATCGTCAATTTCGGCGAGAGGATAACTTTGAACAAAATCGCAACCATAGGAACAACAGCAGGGACAACGACAGAGGTCGGGATCATCATGAGAACTTTGACAACGACCAGCGATGGAGGGACTTCGAGACCCGCGAACGCAATTCCATGGAGAGGTCGGAACGGTTTCAAGACAGGGAGCCGCGGAGACCCTGGAATAGGAATTATTCGAACGAGCACGATGACAGGGACAGGAGCCACGAGCGGATGAGGTAAGCAGATGAAAACAATTGCACAGGCAATCCTGACAAACCGCTTCTCTCTTAGTCGTCCCAGAGACAGTCGCCCGAACAACAACGGCGGCGTGGGGAATAATCGGGAACGAGAGCGGGATTGGGAGCACGACCGAGATCAGGATTCATGGAATCATGAGCGAAATCAAGATCGGCACCAAGATCGACACAGAAGAGGCTCGTCCGAAGAGGACATGGACGAGGGACAGATGCGCAGAAACAAGAACGGGAATGCCCAAGAGCCCCTCAACATAATTATTATACTGGGACTCACCATGGAAATAACCAGGGCAGATGTAAGTCCATGTACCAAGCACAGTTACCCTTGCAATATAGAGGATACTCCTTTCAGATTATGAGTGAACTGATTAAAATGAATATGGAGCCGGCCTGCATTCGGATTATTCGGAAGCATGGCAAACGCTTTTGCCCCGACACCGCCGCGATGCCTCAGCAGCAAAGAAGTAAGTACACTGACCGGAAAAGGGCATATGGCGGCTCAGAGCCAGCGGAGACCACTTACTTGTGTAGCAAACGAATTTAACCCGGCCACAGAAATGAAAACAAAAACAAAAAATTCCCAAAAAACAAAACAAATGTTACAAACCTATCGAAACATTCAACATTTTTTGACGAAACCATTTTGTATCTGCTTCTATCCGATAATTTAGATTCATCACGCGGTATAGCGTTTGTCGAGTTTACCACCGTTGAAGAGGCGAAGCAATGGATGGAGATTACTCAGGTATCCAGCGAACAGGGAATCCCCTTGAATCCTTTGATCTATCAGCCAGCAGCCAAGGATCTTCCCTGGGCAATGATCGCGAAACGATGTGTTTCTCAGTTTGCTTGTTTTTCAATTTTCCCCTCGAAATCTATAACCTAGAAACACTTATTTCATATTAGTGCCTTGGGAAAGATCCTTTAGGAGATCGTCGGCTGCAACAACTTCGCGTTACGAAACACAGAAGCAATCTGGTGACTGTGTAGAGTGTAAAAAATGAAACTGCCTTCCCGAATTCTAATCCTCGCTTTCCCCTCTCTTATTTCCATGTCTGCTGCTCCAGGGCATTCTCAAGTTGGGCGATCATCGGTTGACCATGCAGTACAGCCACACACGCATCCAGGACTGGAACTGCAGCAAGGTGGGACCCACTTTCATGTTAATTCCAATTCAGTTCGTGTTGATAGCCGCCTGACTTTCCCATTCCAGTGCGGCGTGTGCAACTTCAAATTTAGGTGCTACTGCTTCGTGTGCAAAACCTCCCGAGAGGAGGCCGAAAGCGTTGGCGGTAGCGAGGGCGTGGATGAAGTCAGCAGCATCCTCACCAAAAGTATAGCAACAAGGACCCAACAAAGGCATACAGACACATTACAATAATCCCTCCACTTGCAGAGATCATGCTGCGCAACCTGGACGCGTTGACAAACGAAGAGGGCGTGCTCACCGCCCTCCAGCAGTACTTGCCAGACCTGACAAAGACGATCAGCAAGGTCCTAATAAGTCGGGACACCCTGACTCAGGCATCTCGAGGCATTTGTTACCTTCACTTCGACACGCTCATCGACTCGATGAATGTCCATAACGGCCTGATGGCACTAAATCCACCCCTCACGCTGGATGACCGGCCTGGTAGGTCGCATAGTTTTTCATTTATTTGTTTGCCTTATTTGTCTATTTGTTGCAGTTGCCATCACATATTGCATTGACGCAGAGGAACTCCAGACAGGGTCCAAAGATGCAAGCAAAGCAGCCACCAAGGCCAGCGAAGAAAGCCACCTGAGTAGAGATGCTGCCGTGGTGTCACCCTCGGGTCTTGGGGGCAACTACACCCTGGCGGATGTGCCACGCCTCGCCGAATACAGTGCCTCGTTGTACGCCTCGAATCCCGCGGAGCAGGCTCACTACGTCCAATACTACACGGACTTTTACACGGCCGAGATACACGGCAAGAAGAGCAGGGATCCGCAATTGACGGAGGCCAATTCAGGGGCTGCTGTGGCCCTTTCGGCCATACAGCGCAAGCAGAAGAAGATGAGCAGCATAGAGACCACGATCACAGCGGCGGCCGCAGCCGCGGCCCAAGCAGCCGCTGAGGTAAAGGCCTCCTTCGCTGCCCAAGCCATAAGTGCAGCTCCCAGGGGGAACGACGGAAAGACGTACCGTAAGTGGAAACAGAAGCATGAACGCCGTATTCCCTAACAATCCCCTCTTTTTGCAGCCACTCCCGATGTATCGCAGTATCAGTACGATGAGACCTCGGGCTACTACTACGACCGCACCACAGGGCTCTACTACGACGCCCACTCGCAGTACTACTACAACAACGAAACGGGGGCGTATCTGTACTGGGACCAGAAGAGGAGCACCTACGTCCTGGCCACCCCTGCCTCCACGCAGGCAGCTCTTCAGGAAGTCCTGGTGGACGCCGAGCAGAAGGAGGAGGAGGCCAAAAAGGCGAAGGAGAAGGAGAAGGACAAGGAGGGCGGCGGCAACAAACACGACAAGGTCAAGGTGGCCAAGAAGATAGTGAAGGACATGGAAAAGTGGGCCAAGCAGCTCAATCAGAAGAAAGACTACACTGTGGTGGCCACGCCACAGCCCATACTCTCGGGCAACGACGGTCCCAGCACCTCGCGGGGCTCTCAGGGAGGCTATGCTGACCTGGGCTTCTCCATCCTGGAAAAGAAGGAGAGGGCCAAGCTCACCGACTATATGTCACAGGCGGGACCGCCCGGCACCAACAAGATTGTAAATGCGTACGGCGGAGGATCGGACTCCGAGGAGGAAGCTGCTGGCAACTTGCAGAACGCGCAGGGTTCGATGGTAGCTGGAACTGGAAGTGTCGATGAATCGGACTACGTGGACTTTCAGAAGTTAACTTGTCAGCTCTGCAAACGTGCCTTCCAATCGCTGGACATCCTTCAAAAGCATTTAAAGATGTCCAATTTGCACAAGGAAAACTTGGCCAAGCTCAACCAAAGCTCAGGAGGCGCCGTCGTTGACGAGGGCCTGTCGTAAGTGCCATTTTCATATTGCGAAAGCACTACAGCTTGTCTGAATAATTACTTCTCTCTCAGCTATCGTGATCGTGCCAAGGAGCGTAGGCTTAAGTACGGAGAGAGCGATCCCCCGCCCCCAAATCGAAGCAGAGAGCGCTTTGAGCAGGAGATCAAGACCCTGCAGACGAGGCAGAAGGACAACTCGGGACCGGCTCCCGCCATGCCCATCAGCTCCAGCAATGTGGGCAGTCGCCTGCTGCAGAAGATGGGCTGGTCAGAGGGCCAGGGCTTGGGAAGGAAGAACCAGGGTCGCACACAGATCATAGAGGTAAACAAACACAACCAAATTCACAATGTAAATAGTTTTAATTATTATTTTGTTCGCAGGCTGAGGGGCGCACCAACAATGTGGGTCTGGGGAACAAAGCGGGAAGCATGATTCCGGGCAACGACTATAAATCCTACATCAAGAAGATGATGAAGCAGCGCTATGAAAATGCATGAGAATAGGTTAATTCTCAAACAAAGAGCTCGGTTCTCTTTAAAAGGTTGAGCCAATAGATTATATTTTAACGGCAAAATGTTTTCTCCATTACATTTTTCGAAGTCTTTACGATTAACTATGAGCCAGTGAATCAGAAAAACCACATTCTTGGTTTGGAGCCTGCCTTTGACTTGTCAGGGAGACGTAAAAAGGTCTTGAATAGCCAATAGTTTAATTTAGATTAAGTTAAGAGTTTTGGTTAAGAGAATTCAGTCTCTTTTAATAATTACAAAATAAAGTTTAAATATCGCAAAATTGAATATTGTCTGATTGGAGTTCGTATCCGGCACGGTTTATAAACACTGATGTTTTTCTGATTGGGAAACGCGAATTGGAAAAAAATGTAAAATAATGAAACTTTCTTTTTTATATTTTCTTCATCTAAGGTCCTTCCCTATTTCTCAGGGATCATGACATATATATGAAATAAGAGTTTTTTTTTAATATATCAAAAATATTTGAATTTAATTCTTTTTATTTAACTTTTATAAAAAAGTTAAAAAATAATTCATTTCATTAATTTTTATATAAAAGTTAAATAATAACCGATATTTTTCATTTTTAAAATAATAATTGAAAATAAAAATTGTTCTCCAATTCATAACATTGACAATAACAGTTAAAAAATTGAAAAATAAAATTGAATCGTATTTACTTTTCAACGGTATTACATATTTTTTTCCCGCTCTGAAAATACCAAAGTGTCCTCTTGCCTTATTTCCTAACGCCATGCAACTTTTTAGTATTTTTGATGTCTCGTCCACGAACCAAAAGGATTTTTTAGGGGAAAATTTCCACGGTTCGAGATTTTTTAGGGGGAAGGCCACATTTTCATTTGGCAGCCCTAAAGGAGGCCGAGATTTTTCATTTGTGTTTGCCAAAAACTTTTCGGTGCCTAGAACTCAATTTTGTTTCCGTCTCAATGAAAAAAACTGGCAAGGAGAGCGAGCAAGTTTAACTAGTTTCCGCCTCCTGCATCAAGCAACGTGACAAACAAGTAAGACTGCAAATGAGACGCGAGAGAGTTCAATGTAATTACCAATTACCAATTCTCATTAGATATGGATTTTCGGTACGGTCGCAGCTTTTCCGGGGGCGATGGAAACGGTAACGATCTGAGCCACAGGCGATATAGTCGCTCCCGCTCCCGCTCGCGATCCAGGTAAGGATGGTTTGCCTACGTATTATTATTATTTGCTTCAATAATGTTATTTTGATTTCCAGAGAACGGAACAGACGCCGCCAATCCCGATCCCGCAGCCGGGACCGTTCATCGCATTATAGACGCCACCACGGCCCCAGCCCAGACCGCGACCTATATCGCGATCTGATCAACGAGGACTACCAGGAGGATCAACGCCACTACGGTTCGCGTAATCACGTTGATCACTACCACCAGCATCGCAACGATGACTGCTACGACCGGCGTGAACGGGACCACTATGAACGCCGAAACCGAAGCAGCAACTATGACCGCCCTGATCCGGACAGGAATGATCGATGGGAGCATGACTGCTTCGATCCCAGGGAGCAGGATGGGCCTGATCGCTATGACAGCTGGAGGAACCAGGATCGAGAGTCGAGACAGCGTAGCTATGACGATTATGAAGAGGAATTGGAGCGCGACAGGTAAGACGGATGAACTTGGTACTCAAAAATGTCGAAACTCGAATATATCGTCATAAATTTATAAAAACCTAATTAGGGATTATAGTTTCCATAAAAGAGGTGCTAAAAAAATGTAAAGAAACCCTACTTTTTGTGAGACACATCGACACGATAGATAGATTAAATTAGTATTTAGTTTACATATATGGAAGCTCTATAGTCAAGTGTGAGTCTCACACAGTGTGTACTCAAGGCAACGTGAGTGATTTTAAAGGGAACATCGTTCATGAATTCATTCATAAATTACCTAATGCATAATTCATGCTCAGACTCGGGACTTAGAAGTGTAGGACTCTGAAGAAATTCTAGTAAATGTCTTCATTGAAGGGTATTCTAATTTTAGTCAGAATCTTGCAACGTAGTAATGAAGACATTTCCTACCCTATGAAGAACTATACATATTCTTGATCAACACCAACAGCCAAGTCAATCTAGCCATGTCTGTCTGTCCGACTTTCCATTTCTACTCAAACTAGTTCCTCAGTTTTTAAGCTGTCTGATTGAAACTTTGCAGATAGTCTTCTGGCTACTCTCGCTATCATATCATAGGAATCGATTCTTAATGATCCAACTACAAACTGCAAGGTTATACAAACTTCGGCTAGCCTAGTTAGCTTACTTCCTTTTATTTAAAGCCCACAAATACTGCTTTCAACATAAGAGAAGCGTGTAGATTTTAATACAACTGGTGACTGTTTTGCCGACAAAAGATTGAAATCAAAATCTTCATACAGAAAATGAATTCTTTTTTGGTAATTGCAGTCGAAATAATGGCAATGACAACAATAATGGGATGGCCAACAAGAACAAAATAAGGGAACAGGAGCGTTCTAGAGAGCATTCTAGAGATAGACGCTATTCCTCGGACGATGTCAGCGATGAGCCCGATGAGATTCGGGAGAGACACGAGCAACACCAGAACAACACCGAGCCGTCCAACCACATCATACTCTTCGGCTTGAAGAAAGACGTCACAGAAGCAGATGTAAAAGCTTTAAAAGATATGTGGATATTCGATGGGAAATAACTAATGTACATATACTACCCACAGATCATGGGCGAGCTGATCAATGTCAACATGGAGCCCGCCTCTATACGCGTGATGAGGAAGCAGCCGACAGGTGGGTAACAAAACCGCGAAATAAATATGATTTACATTAGTGAAGCGGGAAAAATAAATGAAAAGCGTGAGTATTGTGTGACCAGGAAAGAGTTCGGAGTAGGATTTAGACTTGGCTTACGAGACATCAGCATTAAAATTCCACTAAAAACAGAACCCAAACAAATACAATCCCCAAAAATGTTACAATGCTTTTAAAACAACCAACAACATTTTTTGACAAAAACATTTTCGTATCTGCTTCTATCTAAAATTTAGGTGCCTCACGCTGTTTTGCATTTGTCGAGTTTAAAACCGTTGAGGAGGCGCAACAATGGATGGATTTGACTCAGGTATCCACTACAAACCACAAACAAGAAACGTAAATCCTCTTGAATCAGCCGAAAAGCGAAATGAAGGCAAACCCCATCGGCATCGGCGGCTGAACCAAAAGTCGATGCCTTTGAGTTTAGTTCTCAGAGTTAGTTCTCCTCCATCTTTAAGCTCCTCTAGTCAAAATTTCTCTGTGATCCCGTGAAGAGAACTGAACTCAAAGCCATTATTTCAGAATACGGAGAGCCTCAGCTGCACGGCATCGGCGACACCTGCGCGTTGCCCCGTAAACACAAGCAACCAACCTGGTGACTGTGTAGTCTGTGAAACTTGGGATTGTTTAGCTTCAGAGTCAGTAATTCAGCTCCACTCTCTTCTGTTTCCTCTCTCCCGGACAGGGCGAGCTCCAGCTGGGCGACCACAAAGTGTCCATGCAATATAGCCACACTCGTACGGCGGACTGGACCTGCATCAAGGTGAGTTCTAGCCGAAAGAATACATATACGAGAGTTGTCAATGTTAATGTAATGCTTATTTTTCTTCAGTGTGGTGCCAGCAACTTCAAGCGTCGCTTGCAGTGCTTCATGTGTAACACCTCGCGGGCGGAGAGCGAGAACACAGTTCCCTGTGACGGCGAGGGGATCGACGAAGTCAGCGACCTCCTCACAAAAAGTATATCCACCATGAGCAATATCTTTCAATATGCCGTTCTCCCCAGCCAATCTTCTACATAGCTAAGTCCCCACTAACCACTGCCACGCTTTCCCAATGCAGAGATCATGCTGCGTAACCTGGACGCGCTGACAAACGAGGAGGGCGTGCTCACTGCCCTCCAGGAGCACTTGTCCTCCGACATGGCGAAAACTGTCAGCAAGGTGCAGATCAGTCGGGACACCTTGACTCAGGCGTCGCGGGGCATCTGCTATTTGAATTTCGACACTCTCCTCGACTCGATGAATATGTACAACGGGCTGGCTGCCTTGAACCCGCCGCTATCCCTGGACGGCAGAACAGGTAAGTGTTCAGAATCCACTTTTTTAATTCCTAATTTCTAATTCTGTTCTTGTAATACTCGAACTCTCGGTCTTCCCAGTGCTGGTTTCCTATTGCAAGGATCCCGAGAATCGTAAAATATTTTCCACGCCGGATTCCAGTTCAGCTAGACCTAGTGCAGGCTTTACGGCCATGACAGCCTCGGCACTGAATGGAAGCTACACCCTGGCAGATGTCCCACGCCTCGCCGCCTACAGTGCCTCCGTCTATGCCTCGAATCCGGTCGAGCATGCCTATTACGTCCAGTACTACACGGATTACTACACGAAGGAAATAAGCAAGCAGGCCGTTAATCCGCACCTGACTGAGGCCAACTCGGGAGCTGCAGTGGCGCTCTCGGCCATACAGCGGCAGCAGAAGAAGCATTCTTCGCAGGTCCCGCTCAGCATAGCAGCGATGGCAGTTGCAGGGGCAAAGGCCTCGTTTACTGCCCAGGGCTTGAATGTGCCCAAGGGGAACGACGGAAAGACCTACCGTAAGTGGAAACAGAAGCATGAACGCCGTATTCCCTAACAATCTCCTCTTCCTGCAGCCACTCCCGATGTATCGCAGTATCAGTACGATGAGACCTCGGGGTACTACTACGACCGCACCACAGGGCTCTACTACGACGCCCACTCGCAGTACTACTACAACAACGAAACGGGGGCGTATCTGTACTGGGACCAGAAGAGGAGCACCTACGTCCTGGCCACCCCTGCCTCCACGCAGGCGGCTCTCCAAGAAGTCCTGGCTGATGCCGAGCAGAAGGAGGAGGAGGCCAAAAAGGCGAAGGAGAAGGAGAAGGACAAGGAGGGCGGCGGCAACAAGCACGACAAGGTCAAGGTGGCCAAGAAGATAGTGAAGGACATGGAAAAGTGGGCCAAGCAGCTCAATCAGAAGAAAGACTATACGGCGGTGGCCACGCCACAGCCAATATTACCGGAGAATGAAGGCCCCAGCACTTCCCGGGCCTCACAGGGAGGGGGCTATGCTGATTTGGGATTCTCGCTCCTCGAAAAAAAGGAGCGGGGGGCCAAGACTGCAGACTTTGTGCCACAGGTGGGACTACCGGTGCTCAGTAAACTAGCAAACGCCGTCGGCGCAACATCCGAGGACTCTGAGGATGAGTCGGCTGGACCCTCATTCGGAGTCGGAGCCACTACTACCGCTGCTTCCCAAAGGGCAGCTCCCGACGAAGCGGACTACGTGGATTTCCAAAAGCTAACCTGCCAACTTTGCAAGCGTGCCTTCCAGTCGTTGGACATCCTTCAGAAGCACTTGAAAATATCCACCTTGCACAAGGAGAACTTGGCCAAACTTAACCAAAACTACGTAGAAAGTGGCAACGAAGTGGGACTGTCGTAAGGGCTTTTGTTAACTTACTGAACTTGCAATATTCCTAATGCGATTTCTTTGTGACGCTGTAGGTATCGCGACCGGGCCAAGGAGCGGCGACTGAAGTACGGGGAGGGCGATCCACCACCGAATCGTAGCCGGGAGCTCTTCGAGCAGGACATGAAGACGCTGCAGACGAGGCAGACGAATAACGTTGGGCAAGCCCCCGCCATGCCCATCGGCTCCAGCAATGTAGGCAATCGCCTCATGCAAAAGATGGGCTGGTCAGAGGGCCAGGGTTTGGGTAAAAAGAACCAGGGTCGCACCCAGATCATAGAGGTAAAGGCATAATATCCCAATTGGTGAATTTAAATCATTTCCATTGTTATTCCATCTTCCTTAGGCCGACGGACGCACTAACAACGTGGGCCTAGGAAACAAGGCTGGAGGACAAATGTTTCCCGGTAGCGACTACAAATCCTACATCAAGAAGATGATGAAGCAGCGTTATGATAACGCCTGAGAGTTCCTTAAGCCATGTTTACTTCCATTCCCTTTAGACTAGATGATAGATTAGTTAAATGCTTACCTCGGCCTCACATCCTTACCTTGTGGTGATCATTTCATATGTACTGAAGTAGATAAATGTAAATAGTTAATAAAAGAAGGGTGGCTCAATTAAACTTACCTAATTTAAGAAACTAAATGCTGATTTATGATATGGTAAATTTTAAGGCGCTGCAAAGTAATCATAATAATCATGTTATTTCATTTTTAAATTTGAGAAGTTATGTTTTTATCCAAAATTTGGGGGCTTATTTCGTTTTTTTTCTTCTGGGTATATATTTTCTGTGATTCATAAATTTCCTTTTCGAGACATACATGCTTGAATTTATTTTAAAGCTCTTACTGATGTTAACTAAAAAGTTTTTGTTAATTTTGTTTAAAATCTCCATCCATATTTGAGTATACAATTTTTTTGTTTAACTTTTCATTCTGTATTTTATGAGTTATCGAAGAAAAAATCTTATTAAAGCTGATCGAAGGTATGTTGTACTATTTAAGTGGCCACCACTGTATGCTATAAAAAAATAACGATCTTAAACCAATTTTTATAGTTAAATATACCGCAAATGTATTATTTTACACAATTTCAGTATTTTTTGCTTGACGGGAAGTTATTTGCCAGCTTTGGCCACACGGATTTCGATTAAAAAACGTGCGCCGGCCTTTTTCGCGTAAACATTTTATAATATTAACAAGCATTTCCTTGGACATTTAGCGACATTTAATGAGCCCGAGAAGTATTCCTCCGCTGACCTACAAGGTCGTGGCGGAATGCTCTGTCACCAAGGCCAGAGCGGGTCTAATGACCCTACGGTGAGTTATCTGAGCCCCCAAGAGATCTGACTAATGCTCACAACAAATTGCACTCCGCAGGCACAGTGAGGTGAATACGCCGGTGTTCATGCCCGTGGGCACTCAGGGAACACTGAAGGGGATCCTGCCAGACCAGTTGATCGAGCTGAACTGCCAAATTCTGCTGGGCAACACGTACCACCTCGGACTAAGGCCTGGAATTGAGACGCTAAAGCTGGCCGGAGGCCTGCACAAATTCATGGGCTGGCCGCGGGCTATTTTAACCGACTCCGGTGGCTTCCAGATGGTCTCCCTGCTGCAGTTGGCCGAGATCGATGAGCACGGTGTCAACTTCCGATCGCCCTTTGACAACAGCCAATGCATGCTAACGCCAGAGCATTCCATCCAAATCCAAAATGCCATCGGCGCCGACATTATGATGCAGCTGGATGACGTGGTGAAGACAACAACCACGGGTCCCAGGGTGGAGGAAGCCATGGAACGCACCATACGCTGGGTGGATCGGTGCATTGAGGCGCATGCCCGGGATGACGACCAGTCTCTATTCCCCATTGTCCAAGGCGGATTGGAGGTGCCTCTGCGGCAGCGTTGCGTATCCGCTCTGATGGAGCGCCAGGTGCGCGGCTTCGCTGTTGGTGGCTTAAGTGGCGGCGAGAGCAAACATGACTTCTGGCGGATGGTGGATGTGTGCACTGGTTACCTTCCGAGGGACAAGCCCCGGTACCTAATGGGCGTTGGATTTGCAGCGGACTTGGTGGTGTGTGTCGCCCTCGGTATCGATATGTTCGACTGTGTGTTCCCGACGCGCACAGCTCGCTTTGGCTGTGCCTTGGTAGACAGTGGACAACTGAACCTTAAGCAACCCAAGTACAAAATGGACATGGAACCCATTGACAAGGACTGCGACTGCAGCACCTGCAAGCGGTATACACGCTCGTATCTACATCACATTGCAACAAATGAGAGTGTTTCCTGCTCCTTGTTAAGCATCCACAATGTTGCCTATCAGCTGCGCTTGATGAGAATCATGCGGGAGGCAATACAGAAGGATGAGTTCCCGCACTTTGTCAGGGAATTCATGAAGAGACACTTTCAGTCGGATCCTATTCCCGCTTGGATACGTGAAGCCCTGGCGGCGGTTAATATTCAATTGCCAGCAGATCAAGAGAAGAAGGATGAACTGGAGGAGGCGCCAAAGGCAGAAAGAAAGCAGGAGCCGACCAAAAGTATGACCCAACCTGCAGCCACCAGCTAACACCCCCATCGCAGACCTTATTCAGACTATTTTCTTTACGAATGACTAAAAATATCGGCGATATTAGCCATTTCGGGAATGACCCAAAGAAGGCCAGTTGTAAGACATGGATTTAACTTTTGTAGCTTCCTAATCTTTAATTTTAATTATTTAAAACTGCTGGACCTTTAATTAAGCAATCCCAAGCGTTGTAGCCACACTGTCTTTTCAGTTATTTAGCCAATATTTTTAGGGACCTCGGAGCATTCGTATAGAGAATATCCTGAATATTTTATATTTACCAACAACATGGCTAATCGATTTATTAAACAATAATTAAGTTATTTTTGTTAGTTATTATGTTCATGGAAAAAATCATGTATATATTTAACAAATTAAAAAAAAATCGTATATTTTAGTAATATTTAAACACTTAGATCAAAAAATATAGGTACCCCAATCTATAGCGTATGGGAATACTGGTTTTCGATTCCGCTTTGCCTACTTTTTGATCCGTCGCCGCAAAAGCTCTCGACTTACCTATGGGAAAAAGCTTCGTGCGCCGAAGTATGACGCATAACGCAAATCGGTGGCGATCGCGGTTCTCGCATGGAACGTCCGCCGACGACGACCAGTCAGTCCAATTCAGTTTTTGTACTTGATTTTCGTTAGTTTTCCGCTCCTCCTCGACCGTACGTACTTAGGCTACATGTGGCGGCGGTCACGAAGAAATAAAAAGCAATAGGGGAAAAAAGAAAACAAAACAGATCGTTAGGAGGGGGCAGACCTCTCACTTTTAACTCGGTTCTCGGGGCTCAGCTCTCTTTGGGAGCCGTATGCGTCAGACTGGGTACTCTGAGATCCGAGAGAGATCCAACAGAGCGAGGGAGAAGATTGTGGCAAGTGGTGTGGACTGGTGCTGCTGCTCGAACGGGTGCCAGTCGGTGGTGGATCGTTCAGTAAGTGCCAAGCGTTGTCGCCTCCACTGCTGCTAGCTGCTTTTTCCTCGGTCGTCGCGTCGTCGGTTGTCTAACGGTCTATTGCGGCAAATTGGCAGCGAGAAGCCCGCGCTAATAATAATTTAAAAATTCTTAAAAAAGTATCTATAAAAAGAGAGCAAAAAGTGGAAAATCTCCAATCAGAGAATCGGAAATCCATATCAAGCTGCGCCGTCAATTGTAAGGAGTCCCCCAAATTTATTGGTTTGCAATGACAATTAATCACGGACTTGCAGTGCCTGGCTGTGTGTGTGTGTGTTATGGTGCAATGGTGTGTGTGCTAGTCTGCTGCTGGAGTGAGTGTGTGTGCGTGATCGCCTCGTATCGTTGCCAAATGTGGTCAAAGCAAAATAACAAAAATATACATATACCGCATACATTTAAACAACCCGTAAACAATTGTGTGTGCTGTAAAGTGCTTTTTATGGACTTAAAAAAAAAACAACAATAAAGAGAAACATTAAAACAGAAGGAAAGTCAAGTTGTCGCCAGGATCGATTTGGTGGAGTGCACCCAGAAAACCTTACATAAAGTATACGCCGCGTATACATCTGCACAAGTCCAAAAGCCAGCGATTTTCACGTTTTCTTCACGGTTGGCTCAGCTCGTCGCTGCTCGCCTTTATTATTTATATTTTTGTATTTGCCATCGTTTTTGGCTTTGGCCTGTGTGTTTTTGAATTTTCATGGTTTCATTTCTTTAAATAAGTTTTATTTTTAGCATTTTTAGTTATTTTTGTGTATATGTTTTTTTTTTCTCACCAAATTTCGCTCTTGCCCAGCTCGCTGATTATTTTTCGAAATGTTCATGCCGATTCTTTGGAATATTCATGGGCTTTTCTGTTCTCTGTGTACACACAATGTGTGTGTGAGAAAAGTGTGAAAAGATTTGTTTAAAATTCGGTTAGGGAAAAGGTGCATATACAGGGTGGATCGAAAATAAATGAAAACTTTTGGATTTGCTTGAAGGAGTATTCTTAAAACAAAGCAAATCTTTTCTAGATTTTGTGAAAAATCTTTAAAGTAAATTTCCTAGGTTTTTTCCATGATGCTTAGGTCTAAAATATATGAGAAATTTCCTAGCCTTCTAATTTAACATTTAACTCAACAGACATCCAAATTAGTGGCAGAAAAAAAAAATCTATTATAAAGCTGTCTCCTCCTCTTTATTTCTTGCGGTCGTGTCTGCTTTTTATGGCACTTTTTTTTGGCTGTCTATGCCACTATTGCCTCATTTTTCAACCACTCAAATTTAGCTGGCCACAATTCATAAATAAAAAGTAAACACACAAGGCAGCAGCCGATTATGATTGAAGGCATATAGCGAAAAAAATGTATATATGTATATAAAGACTATATAATAGACTATATACCAATTGGCAACAAATTGCCACCAAAGAGTGGCCAAAAATCCAACAAGAAACACCAGAAAGCTTCAGTGATTGCTGCTAATCATAATCACACCAGAATTTGTCAGTTCGCACCGTTAGTTGGACCCTAGTGAGCGGGCTCTTCTTGTATTTTGTATTTATAAATTATGACACATTCGACAGGCGAAGAGCGAGGCGAAGACTGACGGCTCTTCACTCTCTTTTTCGGCCTCCGCGGGAGTGCGGCTACACGTACAACTCTTTGAACAGCTGCTTGGTGGGCGGAAGACTCGGGGGCATGGCCTCAAAACACATGCAAAATTCGTCATTTCCCAAAGAGAGGGAAAGAGGGAGAGAAAAATAAAAGAAGAAGACCAGGGGCAATTAAGCAAAGTAATTATGGGGAAAAGAAAACACAAACACAAGGAAATACACTTTCGCGCCTTTGTCTTTACAATTGATTAATTTCATTTTCACTGTCGCAATGCTAAAAAAAGCTTATTTTAATTATATTAATTAATGGATGCTTTTTAAATGAGCGGAAATTAAAATACAGCTTTAGCAGGCCATTAAAAATATTTAAGATAACTGCAAAGTTCGTTTAAATTAGTGAGTTGAGTTTTAAATAATGCTGAGGTATTTCTCAAAATTCAATCTATTTCACTTATTCAATTAATTTTACAACAAAATCAACAAGAAAATCAACTCTCACACTTATTCTAACCAGCTAAAACAAGTTTTTCATTTTCATTGCCAGAATGCAAATTTCGGCGAGACAAAATTCAAATTCGAAAATCTTCTAAACAATATGTTCGCCTTAATAGTTATTCTATGCAAATTGTTGTTTGTTTTTGTGTTTGCTTAAAAACCAAAATAAACGGAAATGGAAATGGAATATTTGCACAAATATTTTGTTGCTTAGAAATCACTGCTCCTCTCAGAGCAGATCTCAAATGGGTATGAAATTCCAGCATTAATAGTGATAAACTCTCCTGGAGGAAAGGAATTACCCAGCCTCGCGTAGAGCACAGATCACTCTCCAAATTTTAAGATGCTGATTCATTTGTTAAAAAACAAAAAAATTTCTCCAAAATCGAAAATGTTTAGCTGACGATTATGTGTGGGAGATTTTACTGTACGGCCAAAGGTAAAGACGCTTAGTCATTGGACCTATTTTTGCATCAGATTTGCGGCTTAGAAACACCCACCCCAATGTGTGCCATAATGTACCGATGGTTATTTGTTTTTGGTCATCTAATGTTGCCTTGCCTAAACGATATGGCAAATATTTGGATTCTTGTCGTACTCGTTTTTCTCCATTTCAAATTTGCGATTTTCGGCGGTGTTCTGCCAAGTGTGGGTGAATAAACTTCATGGAGCTTGATCAGTTCTTTTTTTTTGTTCGATTCCAAAAAGCAATAAACACAAAGCCACGGGGTTGACAATGAATGGGTTTTGTTGTTGACTTTGAAAATATAAAATAATAACAACAAAAGGTGATTTGAGCGTTGCTCTTAGAGAGCGAGAGTGAGTGGTTGGACTTTGGCGATTTGGAGTTGAATGAGAGTCAGGAGGGCGATCAACCTTGAAACAGCAAATTGTGAGGGTTACAAATGTGGTATTATGAAATACAAATTATTGGAAATTTAATTGTAAAATTAACTAAATGTTAAATGTTTATATATGGTAAACAATATATAATAACTGTCATTTTTACAGGAAAATGCCTATAATTTATATGTATAAAGTGTTTCTGATAGGGTATATATCTTGAGCACAAAATATTTAGAGTTTAAATAACAGCAAATCAAAAAAACCTTGGAATTTATATACTTTTCAATATTAAAACTAGTTGGGTTGCTAGTGGATAAATGAACAAAAAATGAACGCCAAAATGTGCCAGTGAATATGTTGCTTTTTATTTACTCTTTGTTGTTCACTTTGATCAATTTACCTATTTTTGTTCACTGGGTTCATTTTTAATCAGCTGTTCAGATGCAATTCTTTTGCAAGATGCGGGGTAAAAAATCAGTGGAAGCCGAAATTAATTTAATGTAATTTAATAATTTATAAATTTAAACAATACAAAGTTTATTTTTTAATTCAATATGTCATTAAATATTTTATTATTACTATTATTATTTGTTTTAAAGAACCAAATTTTTTAATACAAATTTATTCATGCTTTGAATCTTGAAATGTAGGTCTTCGTTGTAAAAACTGAACAAGTGAGTAAATAAGCAACTGCAGTGAACAAGTGAGCAATGCGAGACACTAATTAAAACAACTATTTTACTCTCTTTACTGTTTGCAAAAATAATTAACTGTGGCTTATGAGAGCTGCCACTACTATAATTCAAATGGGTTTAGAAATTCATTTATCCAAGGAGACAAATTGGTGAGTGTCGCATTAGTGACCGCTTTATCCACAATATCCAGACCCCTAGCCATTTGACTTTGATCTCCAGAGCAATAAATATAAAATTTGAATAGCCCAGGGCATAAATCAGGGGCAACAATTTGATATTCGGTTATTATTAAATTTTGTTTCTTTTAATTTTAACTCGCCACCTCTCTCTCGGGCACAGAGACACGAAATGGGAATTAAAGTTGCCGAGCCGGAGCGGGGCATTAATAAATCAAGTTCAATTCAATTAGTGCAATCCGGGGACGACACAAACATTTTCATTCCCCATCCTCCACCCGCCCCCTCCGTTTTTCATTTGGCCTCTCATAACCTACGACAATTTATAATGCTGCGCAGAAATAATGGAAAGACTGCGAAATTCAAATGCGAATGCAAATTCGAAAGCCAAAACCAAGCGAAATGACAATGAAAACATTGAAAAAGCAATTCACAAATAATGCAATATGTGCGGGTATCCAATAAATTGTTAAACAAATGTTATTCTGTAATCAATAAATGAGCCAGTGTCTGGTGAATTATTTATGCGGAAGTGGAAACCACCCACTCAGGAACGACAGTGAGACATGTTGTAATTGTCAGCTGGGTGGGTAGGATCCTCCATAAAAAATCG